GCCCAACATTTCTTTTTAAAGCCTGTTGGGATGGTTGAGACCTTCCCCGTTTTTTTTTTTTTCAGCAGCCTCACCGCCGAGGTGCGGCTGCTGTGATTCAGGGCAAACTCTACGTCTTTGGCAGCGAGGCTGGCTAATCGCAGTTCGAAAAAATGGATTACTAAATTCATTACCAATAGGATTTACTAACTGAATAGGAATATGATTTGTTAATATTTAACTGAATATCATTAGTTCTTAATTTATTTAATGAATAGGAATATGGTCTATTAATCATATTAAAAATCATGTTAATGAATTACCAATCTATAATTAATGAATAGGAATATGGATTCATACCTCTGGTAAATTAACAGTTCGACCCTGAAAATAACTCATGTCTAGTGGAAACTAATCTTCCAACCCCTATCTACAATTTACTGGAGGGTACTATGATTTACTTAATGAATAGGAATATGGATTAATATGGTCTTAATTAACTATTACTCATCCATTAATTCAAGACTTGATGAAATAGGACTACTTCATTAGTGGCTTAATATGGAATTAGTCCAAGATTCACCACTTTAGACTTTAGATTCACCATCAATGATATGGATTCAAGTGGTCAATTTTGGATGGAATAGGGGGGTAAATCTAAATGTAACTATTGGGATGTATTATGGATTAATGGGATATGAAGTCAACAGATTGAAACTTGGGTTTGTCCAAACATTCGGCATACCCACCAAATGGCTACTTTAATGGGGAAATCTATCATAAACCTCAAATGTGTTTTCCCATAATTTTCAGACAAACCTAAATGGGAAATAGACTAACCAGCTAAGAAATGCTAGGAAACACACTCTTTTCGCAGGTTTATTGAACGAGGTGCTGCGCCTGAAGAGTACTGCTGCAACCACTTCTACTTGTACTTCTGCTACTTCAAATCTTCGTAATTGCACCCATGGGTCTGAAAATTTTGGGGAACCCCCGAATTTTGATATCATTTTCCCGCTGATTTTTTGACCGTTTTGGGAGGACCGGAAAAAAACTCACTTTCAGACACGCAAACGACTTTGCGTCTCAAGGATGATGCGCGAGTCGTGAGCTCCGCCGAACGTGAGGGTCTCAACATCGCCAGAAAACATGGATTTGGAACGATCAAAAAGGTAGAAAATACATGAACATACCTTACCATTTATTTTAGATTATTTTAGCATGTTTTCCCTTTTCTATTTGATTCTTTTTGAGGATTACTAACTAGGCAATGGCTGCAGGCTTTGACCCGGAAAAGACGACCTGGGAGGTACCCCTTGGGACAGGGAGAGGCCGTGGGGTGATTTTGTTTCATTGTTGGTTGACATTCCAATGAATGATCACTTTCTTCCATATGGTTTCCGCTAAAAATTGCAATGTCTTGGGGTATATACCCAACTTTTGAAGAGAAAAAACAATAACAGTTTCTTGAACTGCAGGCCTTACCGCCCATGCTGTCAAGACGAGTGGGTGCCGCCGCACGGAGCTCGACTGGGTTCATCCCTGGTAAATGGAGGACTTGTAATTCTACAGCAACAAAGAGTCTAGATCAGTTTTTATAGTTTATACATTGTTGATAACATTTGATAACCGTATTCATGTGTATTCTGGGTTGGAAGTATTTGCCCGGAAGCTTCTAAGTCTCGCTACGATGTTTGCGGTTTCGCAAGTAGCTGAGGCCGCTGCGGTGGCAGGCTGTTTCTACGTTTGTGGTGGCTGGGATGGACGACAGTCTGTGTCTCAGACTCATTCGTACACCGGGTACACACAGACGGACACCGGGTACACCAAGTTCAAGAGACATTCCGACGAGAAAACATACAGATGGACCATGATGGACCATGATGGACCATGATGGACCGGATGGTTTTGGGGTTCTCGGTAGGCCTATTCCAACAGCGGGGTTCTCACCTTGGACGGGATGCCACGGGCCACTGGACGGGCCTCGGCGAGGCGCTTGAATTCTGCGGAGCGCTTCAATCCATCCACCGGGATCTGGGAGGCTCTACCGCCCATGCACGAGAGGCTGGTTGGATGTCGGAACCTGTTGGAACCTGTTGGGAATGCAAAAGGACCTGAAAATCATGAGACTTAGAGGAAGTTGACCAGAGTTTTCCAGAGAAAGCAAAGGAAACAGTGGTTTATGTGGTTTGAAGAGGGACGCAGTTTTTGGCCTTGACGAATTTAATCCATAGTGGAAGAATGTGGAAGATTTGACCTTGCTCTCGCAGTTTCTCTCCCCTGCGTTCTATTCTTTTCGCACAGGATGTAAGTGCTCCTATAAAAGCACCCTTTGGCTTCGAGTGGATTTTCATAGCCAGGGAGGTACTTCAAGCATTGCAAACCTCATCTGCCTTCGACAGCCCAAGTCTGCCATGGCCATGAGAAGTTGCACAGCTCAGGCGTGATCGCGCAGCTGTGGCAACCATCGCAGGTCTCTTATTCGCTCGGGACTCAAGATGGGGAGATTCCCCAGTGAATGGAGACGTGCCATTTTTGCCAATGGACAACCCCCCCCCCAAACCATGGTTTAGTGGGGGATCTACACATATTTGGTACATGGGGATGGGATTACAAAGGTATGCAAGACTCAGAGATGAACAGAAACTGGCACTCCTCACCAGGTTTGCGGTGGCTTCGATGGCGATTCAGACCTGAGGTGAGTTGGCAATGGAGGGGCCTGGTGTCGATGAAACCTGGCATAGGTGGTGAAAATACGTCAACATCCAAAATTGCAGATGGTTAAGACATGTTAAGACATGTTAAGAGTGAAGATTCTTTAAACATCTGAAAAAAACGATGGAATTCTTGGAATTCCTATGGAATTCCTAGTCCCTTTGTCTCTTCAATGAACCTTTCTTTCCTGAAGGCGGCCTCGCCTTGCCAGGACGGCGGAGTGTTTCGATCCGGCGTCTGGCACCTGGATGTCCCTACCGCCCATGCAAGAGAGGTGCCCGTCTCGGGAAATGGCCAGTCGTGGGCTGTGTGGCCGTTTCGGCCAAATCAGTGATAGCATCAGAAATTTGTTTTCACTATTTGTTTTTACATTTTTTTTTTAAGTTGATCATTTTCACAGTGAACATATAGATTTAAAGTTTATCATTTGTTCATCTCTTTGCGCCAGTTCAACAAAGAGATGAACAAATGATAAACTTTATCCAGTTCACATGAACATTTCCAGTTCAACTGTCCAAAATGAACAATAACTTTAAATGAACAGAAAAAAGATGAAAATTTTGGAGATTATTCATTTTCTCCCATGGATTGGATCGACACGAGGCGCTCCAGCGCAGTAGCAGTCGCAGCTCTCGCTTGAGGAAAAAAAAGGAAGCGCTGAGATGTTTCCATGGGGATTTCACCAAATTTCACCCGGAATATATGATATATATATAATATATAATATATTATTATATAATATAATATATTATAATATAATATATTATAATATATAATATATTATAATATAATATAATATAATATATTATAATATAATATATTATAATATAATATAATATAATATAATATATTATAATATAATATATTATAATATAATATAATATAATATAATATATTATAATATAATATAATATAATATATTATAATATAATATATATAATATAATATAATATATTATAATATAATATAATATAATATATTATAATATAATATAATAAAATATAATATATTATAATATAATATAATATATTATAATATAATATAATATATTATAATATAATATAATATAATATAATATATTATAATATAATATAATATAATATATTATAATATAATATAATATAATATATTATAATATAATATAATATAATATATTATAATATAATATAATATAATATATTATAATATAATATAATATATTATAATATAATATAGTATAATATAATATATTATAATATAATATAATATATTATAATATAATATAGTATAATATAATATATTATAATATAATATAATATATTATAATATAATATAATATAAGATAATATATTATAATATAATATAATATAATATATTATAATAGAATATAATATAATATATTATAATATAATATAATATATTATAATATAATATAATATAATATATTAATAATATAATATAATATAATATAATATAATATAATATATTTAATATATATATATATATGTAGAAAGAGAGAGAGAGAGAGAGAGATGAGGAACAACTATGAACCATGTGGAAAAGTTATGAACGGTATAAAACAATGATGAAATTGGTAAGGGTCATGAGTCAAAATTAAGGTCCCGGTGAAATACAACACAATCAACACAGGTTTTCGCCCATGTCTGACCTCCCGACTTTACCCAGTCAGCCCACAGGCCCAGACAATGCGCCTAGGTTTGCAAATCAGCAATAGTACGGAATATTGCCTTGACCCATGTCCACATTGTGTCGCTTGAACGCGATGAAACATCATGAAACCTTGCGGGAGTCCAGCAGTTGAGAACGCTTCAGCATCAGTCAGTGCCATTGTTTCTGTCTAAAGGCTCAGGAGCTTCGGAACGGAGAGAGGTGCATGGATTCAAAATTCAAATCCCATGATGCTCAACTCAACAGTATCCATGGGGATTGCTGGTATTTTCAGCAGCTTTACGCCGTGCTGTCCATGGACCGCAGCAGAGCACGGAGGAGTGGGGACCTTGGGAGTGGTTGCCATCACCAACTCATCCGCAATGGGCTGTGCCTTGTTGCAGGTACCTGCAATGCTCCGCGTCAAGAGAAGTACCCTCTGGTAAACATACAAAAAACTATGGAAAATCACAATTCTTAATGGGACAACTCACTGTAAATGGCCATTTTCAATAGCTATGTTAAATTACCAGAGGGTACCATATTCTTGATTTTAGCCTTTGTGACTCAGCATTGTTAGAATGGAATGAAAGTCAAGTTTCCATGCAGCTTGAAGAGAGACTCAATTTTGTGGGGTCTCTCCAACAATATTTCACCCAATGTTCTCAGACAGTATCTTTCCATATCTTTCCGTCATAGTCACATCTCAGGTGATTCACCACACATTTTTGACACTTGTTGTGCTTCTAAAGCTCTGCAGAGATGGATTTCCGGAGTCGTCATTTCAAGTCCCATTTGATTTGCGGCTCTCAGCTGCTGGGCGCCCGGCCGCGCATTTTTTGGCGCCAAAGTTGCAGCCAAAACATGGAAACAACAGAAAAGACAGCCCCCTGGATTTTTTGGACTCAACTCTGCACCCGAAGTCAGGCGTCGTAGAAGGACTCATGGAAAACCAAGAGACAGGCAGAGAGCAAAAAACAAAACTTGTGGAGCTGGAGAAGGGTATTGAAGGCAACAAGAGCGAGAAAGAGAAACGAAGACAGAAACAAAGAATCCTTGCAATCTTCTTTGGATCATTGGGAGTTTGTTTACTGGCGTGGGTTCTCCCACATAGCATCAAAGAAGTGCCCTCAACGCACCAGCGGTACTTAGATTCTTTCGGTATTGGAGCGGCTATTTGGGGAACTATGTTCATGATCGTTTTTCTTTTTGTTGCCTTTGTTCAGCTTCCAGAGGAAGTGGTAGAGCTGTTTGAGGGAGACTACGGTACGTCTGAGGAGGAAGTTCTGGAGGTGTTCGGCAAATATGAGGAGGCATTCTCCTGGTGGAAGATATTGAGCCCCTTTGGTCGGGTGGCGCAATTCCTGATCTTGCTTGGAATGGCCGCACTGAACGTGACATTTGTCACCAGCAATTTCTTATCTTTACCAAAGAGGGATCCAACCGAGACAGCAAACATGTCCAAGTACTTCGTCGCTTGGCTCGAGTCTCCAATGGTGATTTGCTTCGGTTGCCTGACTATGGCCCTTTTCATGCACGCAGCGTGTTCTGGAGCAGACGTTGCGGGGATGGTGAAATGTCTTCGGTTCACTGGCAGCTTCTCAGCCTTGCGAACCTTGCAGATGGCGAGCCCCTTCAACGCCATGAATGAAATTCTTGAGACCTATCGGAACAAGGGCCTTGCAATGGCCGCAGTATCTTTCCTCCATCTTTCTTTCTTTGCTCCGGTGGCTGTGATGGCGGTCCTTGTGAAATTGTCCCAAGTGGACTTTGCCACTGAGACCATTGTCGACCATTGGAGCCCCTTTCAGTTCTTGGCTTTCGCTGCGTTCATCAACAACCTCGCCGGGTTGCGGGGAGACATCTCGAAAGAACGAAAACTCGCAATTTTCAAATCCCAGGACTCCAGAGATCCAGAAGCAGTGCTTGATGTCTGGGAAAAACAGCTTGGAACGACACTGCAAAAACTCTATGGTTTTCTCCCAGCACTGGTGCTGATTGGCACCCTTTCAGTGGATGATGTATGTCACTTGCTGAATCCAACCATCAGGTATCACAGATATCATCTAGTCTCTGAATGATTTCGGTGATGAGCCGAAGCCTTAAGGGCCAAATTGTGGCCAAATGGCCACATGTCCCTGTTTCACTCCAGGATGGGCTTCCAAATGGAAATCTCGAAGTGGACCAAGCCAATGCATCCATCATCAATCACATTTTGGTCAAACATTTTTTTTGTGTCAGTTTGAAGAATTGACCACTTGGGCGAAACTCTTTCTGGTGAAACTTGGCTGAAGTTGGGCTTGCATTGGTTGTGGTGGACGTCAGAATGCCAAGCTGGTGAATGTCAGCTCGAGTGTTTCATCTGGACCTATCCATGCCCAAAGAGGCAAGTGCCAAAAGGCAAACGACGGTGGTGGCAGACGATCTTCGGAGAAGTGGAACGCCTGAAATGTGCAAAATGCATCAAAATGCCAAAGGCTCGGTGTTGCTGCCTTGGATTCTTAGATGTTCCTGTTGGAACAAACTATTTCTCTCTGTCATTCCAAGATTTCAAGCAGCTGTTTCTTGTCCCAAGCATTCCTCGGAACAGCTTCGATTCGTGCACTGAGGCCTTCAAATCTCATGGCACTCAAGAGGTCACATTTTGGCGTCTCAAGATTCCGTTCTGGAGGAGTTGAATACGTCATGCGATATACGCATCTTTCAAAGACACAGAATTTGATAAGATGAAACTGGTAAACCAGCCGGGAGTAGTGACTTTGTGATTGTCACCTCAATTCGCCAGTGCTTTACATTCTGCCAGGTCAAGGTCTTCTGCACTGCAGCATGAAGAGCTTGGCGAAGGAGTGGATTTCAACGCCTTTTTATTGTGGGAAAAACAAGGGGAATTTGGAGGATTTGTGTGCAGCTTCGTTGGATTTGCACCTTTTCCCCCGCATTTTTGTTGGTTTACATAGCTGGAAACGCATCAGAGACTGTAGCCGAACTTTGAGACAAGTCGCGGACACCTCTTTCGATGTCAGGGGAACGACCTACCCTCCTCATCGTCCTGGTGGATCGGGACTGAGTCCACTGACTCAAAGGAATCGGAATGGCCGTGGCATTGCTTACGAAGGGAAGAGAGATAGGCAAAGAAGAACAAGGATGAACAAGGAGTTTCATTTGCAGTGTGTCAGAAGCATGCTCTTGAGTTTATCCTACGAGAGGTTTTAAGATCATGCGATAGCGTGATCATGCGATGACGCGGAAAAGCGCTTCAGCTGAATGCAGTTAGAAAGTTAAGTCTGCAGTTTGACAGATCGATATGAACATCTGACTGAAGCTGCAGCACCAGCCAGGTTTTTGTCGTGGATAAGATGAATGAATAGACGTTAATATTTCATGATATTTCATGATATTTCATGATATTTCATATTATTTCATCATCAATTTAGCAGGCACCGACCCAGATTGGGTTTCTTGGGGCTACCATGGTCAGCCTCAAAGGCATGGAAATGGATAGGAGGACAAAGCCATCCTCAAATGGGGACTCTTCTTATGGGGGACTCTTCTCGCGAGACAGTCGCGAGTCAACGCACTTTTTGGATCTGTTATGATCTGTTTGGCATACTTTGAGTATCTCCACTTCAAGTCGGAAACAGATTCAGATTTTGTTCATGTTTTCTGCAGAAGCGTTCCATTTACCCGTGGCCGACCGTGAAGGCCAAGTGCTCCTTTGCGATTTGGGGCTTTGGATAGGTGTGATGGTACCATGCAGCCTATCTAGATGATTTCCATTGGGTGCAAGCCAGAAAGTTCATGAACCCTCCTGGCAACCAATATGCCAACAAACAACATGGAAGATGATTCTTACTGGAAATAGCCATAATTCATCATAGCTCATAAAAATAACATGATTTCCACGCTGGTTTTCCACCTTCGATTGAGTGTACCGTGCATGGATTGGCCTCAGCCGCCCCGGCCGGGCCTTCGGCCCACGCTTGCCACGGTGACAGTGCCCGCTGTGTGCGGAGTGTCCGTTCGCGGGGGACCCTGGGGGATTCAGCGGCGATTTCGCCTAGAAATACCATGAAATTCCAGCCATATTTGGTTTGTTCACCATGGTTTGTACAGAAGCTACAAAGCATATAGATCATATAGTGATATATGTATATATATATTATAATTATAATTATAATATATATATATATATTTATATATATATTTGATCCATATTTGATCCATATTTTGGTTTTTAGCTTCACTATGCTTCACTGCTTGAGATTGAAATCCCGAAGGTTGATCCATGGCTTTAAGGTCACCGAGATCTCCGAGATGAGCGCCGGCTCCGAGGGCTCCGAGGAGCGCTTTTTGAGATGTTCGTGGTCGAAATAACGGTGGGTTTCGATGACCTTGGCAGATGGCCAATGGTTGGTAAAAATCTTGGTCTATAATGATATATAATACAGTAATTAAATGTAATTAATATAATAATATAGAATCTCAAGATACAGATTTTCAATGATTTTCATCAGCGTTTCCCAAGAATTTGGGAAGCAGAGTCCCAATGACCTTGGCAGATCAGGTTCGCTAGCGCTACCGTTGCCAGCCATTGCTACATGGAGCCTCGTTGTGAATTTGGGAAGCGTAGAACTGACAAGGCTTGATTTTATCCACTCTGTTTGGAAAGGGTGCGGTGAACCCACTCATTAACCAAAAATGGTTTCAACGTTTGCTTTATGCTTTTTAGCCTGCACAAAGAGGGGTTCATTGTTGGGTTTACCGGTTTACCCCATTAGCATAAGTTTGCTGAATAATTGTGCAGCCCCATGTCGCTCGTAAGCCTCTGCTGGGGCCTTGTATTGTGGTTCCAAGACTGGCGCATGGTTTGTTAATGGATGCCAGAAGAAAAGGTATAGAATAGAACAGCTCACCTTCCTCATGCACCAGTTGGTAACTATTGACACCTACGAAACACTGTAAAGAACTGGTTTACAATGGGATGTTTACCATCTACCAGGCGCATTTCGCAAGCATCCACATTGTCTATAGTTCATAATTAGATATAATAAGTTCATAATTAGTTCATAATAAGTTCATAATTAGATATAATAAGTTCATAATTAGTTCATAATAAGTTCATAATTAGTTCATAATAAGTTCATAATAAGTTCATAATAAGTTCATAATTCACGTTTCACATATTTCCACATAGGTCTCCATGTCTGCTTTGCCGATGCTTTTTTCATGACATCTCCACTGAGGTCAGTGAGATGCCGGAAGAAGTGCCGGACTCGTTCGGCGGTGGCGCGGCGTTCTGAAGGAGAAAATCTCGGGGTGACTGCAAAGGTCATAAAAATTGTCCAAGATTTTTTTTGAATATCTAGAAACATCTAGGAAATCATGAAACAAAAACATCCCGACTGAGAAAATCTAAGGCCATCTAAAATCCATTATAGTCAGGTAAAATCCAAGTAGTTGGCTACTTCTGTTCGTCTCAGTTGGCCTATGGCTGGAGGCAGTTGCTTGTGATGTCAGGAGTCAAACTTTTGGAGCAGATCCGCGACACCTTGCGAAAACACGACCAGCCGCTGCCGAAACCTGGCATGCAACTGGGAAGGGGCAGCCAAACTGCAGTTTGACTCTACATTATTTGATAATATTTGATAGATTGGAGACAAGGTCCAAAGTTCTTTGCGTTGTACAGGCTACGCCTACGCAGTTTATTTCACAGAAGGGATGTTATTAAGCTGGACTCTCCGTTTCCGGCACCTGAGAGCAAAGAATCAAAAGGACTTGCGGATTGGTATCTTCACATATGGACACACCAAATCACATACTGCTACGACATTAGACGTCCGGAGGGCGCACGCACGAAGAAAAACACACACCAGATATTTCATATGGACACTTCGTAAATCGAACTTTTGATTTCTACAATTTGTTATATAAGGTGAACATTTAAATGGAGGTTTTCATCGATGGGGGTACTCCAAAATGGATGGCTTCTTTCATGTAAAATCCCACAATAAATGAGAACTGGGGGTACCATGACTCAGGAAACCTCCAAATGATTGATGGTTGATTGGTTACAACTAATATGGTACTATCTACTATCTACTAATATCTACTAATATCTACTAATATCTACTAATATCTACTAATATCTATTAGTATCTATTAATATCTTTTAATATCTATTAGATATTTCAATATTTTGGATCTAAAAAATAAATATCCATATTAATATCTCTAATATCCAAAATCAATGGGAATTTCAGGATCCAACTTATGGAGGTTATGTACCATTTTTCAGGCCATATGAATTGTGGGGATATTCCCTGAAATTAAGGCCTAAACAATAGGCCTTATATATGGTAGGTACCTCCAATTTAGGTTCCTGAAATGGTAATTGATTAATTACCATCTGGTAACTTAACATAGCTCTTGAAAATGGACCATTTATAGATCATTTACCTATTAAAATGCTGGGAGACTCCGTTGATCCAACGCTTCACCGAGTCTCTCCGTGTTGGGCTCGGCCCTGGAATGGACCTCCGAGCAACGTGCGGTGCATGGGCGACTGGCGTCCTTCCTGCGGCGACAACCGGAGCTGTGGCTGTCACCTGACCGATCAGTTTAGGACCAAAGGATCATCATTTTTAGATTATCTGATATATACGTGTATATATATATATATAAGTATAATATATATATATATATTATACATATATTATATACACATATATTATATGATTGTCATTATATATCTATACTAGTGTTGATAATCAAGTAGATTATATATCTGATTATGTCTGATCTATATTTCTAGTGTTTCCACTGATAGGATCAGCTGGATCGTTGAGGTCGGGAGGCTTTGTAGGCGAAGCCAAGATGCGCATCTTGCCACGTCTGCTGGGATGGGATTTGAAGAAATGCTGGGAAGGTGATCCGGAAATCCATGGGAAATCCATTGGAAGATTTTTTAAAGTCCACAACCATTTTGAAAACATCGATGTAAAACAAATGAAGTAAAACCATCGATGTTTGGATTTCAAATCCATTGGCAGTTATACAAGTGAATCAATATATCAGCAAAAAATGACAGTTATATAACTGAATCAATTTTTAATTGTCAATATATAAGGCAAAAAGGCCTTGGAGATCCAATTTTTTGATGATCCGAAGGTGATTGGCAGCGGCCAAAGTCTTTGAAGTCGCTGCGGGCCTTGGAGTTTTTCTCTGGCATCGGAGGACGTTGCGTTGCGTTGTACGTTTCACCAGCAATGGCACAATGGTGAGGTTTTCATGATACAAACCAGAAATTATGATGGATTATGATGGATACATATATATATATAGAGGTATGTATGTGTATAGATATATTTATTGTAGTCCATGTATGCTATAAACACAATATATCACAATGGTTGGTTGATAATTGGTTGAAATACAGATGGGGGGTTGATGGTTAGAATTAGATGTACAATTACTAGCCAATACACTGGGAACCTATAGGGAATCAAAGATGATATTCCGTTATAGTTATAGTCCATTCCCTCTCTCTCTCTCTATATACATATATATATATATATACAAATATATACAATGTTTTATCTGGACTATGAGTTCTGTCATCGCCATGGTTATCCGCTTCTCATAGTCCACAAGGGAAACAATCCGTACCAACCAACGATTCAATTTGGAGACATGTCCAATAGATTATTTGGGCACGTGCTGGAAACTATGGCAGGACAATTTCTGGGACACAAGAGGGTTGCACAACCAATGGAAGTACAGCTTGAAGGATGTTTGTAGCGTTATGGACCCTCCAATTTAACTTCTGGCGATTCTGAGGGTCTGAGTTTGGGGGATGGGCCAGACCTCAATGGTAATTGAAGAATTGCATGCAAGTGCAAGGCTATAGAACCAGCAAAGATGGAAATGTTAACCACAACTAGACACGTTTTTTTCCTTCATATATTATAATATATATGTATATATTTATAATATATATATATATATATATCGACACTTATATTTTTTGATTATGACATCCAACTGTTGGAAAATATCTCTTAGACATATTGGTACGTTGTATTTAATGTTTAGTTTGGCCACTCAAACAGCATCACGCCAAAACAAACTGATGAACGCAAAAGAACGGGAAAAATGAACAGCGACTCGGGTTGGCCGGGCTGTTGCAGGTTACTGCCTAGGGATCCTAGGATAGTGCGAGTATAGCCACCCCCAGTCCCCACCATTCTGTAAAGGGCAAATCGAGCGAACGGATGCGAGCGGATGCGAGTCGAGCAAAATTGGGGTACCATTTTGTAACTAGGGGTCAGCCTTGGACTGCCATTTTGTAACAAAAACCTTCCTCGGTGAACGTTGGGTTCTGCCAACTTGTAACAAGGGCACCTTGGGGACGCCATATTGTAGTTACAAAATGGGGCTCCCAACCCCTCGGGTCCAATCTGAACAGGGATCTTTAAACCAAAAGTGGAAGTTGAAAATCTTTGTGCCAAAGAATGTTCTAAGCCACGCAAACCCAGTAACCTGCCACACCACGCTGTGATAAAATTCAACGGCACCTGGCACTCATTTCGATGTGACCTACCGTTTTTTCTCCAATGGCATGGCAAGTGCAAAGACCAATGAAAGACGGTTTGACATCGCCCACTGTTGCTCCGCAGAAAAAAGTGAGTGAGCGAATCCATTCCGTTCAGCACTCGTTTGTCACATGTGGGTTTTGATTTTTACTTTTTCGATGATTGTTTGAACACGTGTTTTTGTGTTCCTGTTTCTCGGAAGTGTTGACTGCGTGGTGGCATTTTTGCGTGGCGGCTGTAGCGTTGGTTTAATGTTGCTGTAAGTGTTTGAAAGTTAATGCAATTCCTATCACCTTCTCATTTTTTCGTAATACTTGATACGTGATTATGTTTTGGCCAGGTACTCGCTTGTGCACCTCAGAATCGTCTCGCTTACGCGCTTGAACCCAGAGCATATAAAATGAACAAGCTGCTTTCATCTCCCAAAAGGCACAGTATGGCACACTTTTCCCGAAAAGGCACACTTTTCACGAAAAGACACACAGAGCAGTACGGTGCAGATCAACGCTCTCTCCCGTGTGTGGCTCGTTGCGGCTCACAGCACCATTTGCGCAAGTGCACCACCCAGAGTTTTCGGCCATTTGCTGGGCTGTTGCGATCATGGCTGAAGCAGTGGTCGTTAATCTGGCCGAGGAGTGGGAGTTGCGGCCACTGTTGTTTAACCAGATGAGTTTCCAAAGTCTCAACATTGAGTTGGTTTTGGTCATATGGAGGATGACGGTCCAGTGAGTTTGGACGACGACATGGACACCCCCGGCTTCCAGGCACGATGCATTCTGCCCTGCCTTATCTTCTTGTGATCCAGCTGTCTTACCTTGAGTTTAGGAATAAGGGGTTACCCACCAAAAAGTGATGATTGGCTACGCAAATGAGCTACGGTCAGGCCATAGCGTTGAGGGGTGCAAGGTGTGCTATGACGTATAGAAAAGCACAAAAAATGATTAGGTCCCCCAAAAAAACACAACCCTCTTAGAATTGCAACATGCTCGTGCATTCTGGAAAAACGATATGGCCACATATGGCCACCCCCCAAAAAAAGATATCCAATTGTTTCCCCATGGGACCATGTACCATATGGTTCCGCAGCCAATGATTAAACTAGGGGTTTCCAGGGATTTTTTAATCTTCACACTAGATATTTATTGACGACCGCTTCAAATGAGCAGAGGCATCCTTCAGACATCTTCAAACAGGAAAGTACCAGTGTTTCCGCAATCCAATGTCCTGTACAATGTCCTGCAGGCGCTTTTGGGAGGTGCCCCGAAAAAGTCAGAGGCTCGTTGGACATCGGTGTTTTCAAGTGGGCCAGCCTTGCCAGCACTTTGTGGTTAGAACTAGACATGCAAATGATTTCTTGCAGAAGACACCCATAGATTTTCCACAGATTAACTTGTGTCCAGACGCATCACCCAGATAATTTTTGCATATTTTTGCTTGGCTTGCTTGTTACATTTTGACGCTGCCTATGTCTGAGCCCTTTTACGGGATCCGGAGGCAGCCTTGGATGGATCAGCGCAGAGTCCTGAGGCAGGAATGAAAGTGAGGTTGTGATGTGGAAATCGCTTGATGTGAGATGTTGTGAGGTATTTTTTGGCCACAGTTGAAAATGAAATGAACAGATAAATTCATGTGGCCTCGCAGTGCAAATTTGTACCCATGCTCCATATCCGGATTCTTCCAATTTGTTTTTTCAATCAAGGTATCAAGCTGTGGCTTGTCCCAGTCCTGATCCCACCTAAGCCAGCTCCATACAACATATGAAACCAAAGCTTTTGCAGCCAAACTCGCATCCATAATTCCATTCTAAGCGACCATGTTCACTGACGCGGCAATGGTTGAACAATCGCAGGTTTTGATCACAATCATCACGCTTTACATGTCACCTTCGCAGCATGATCAACGTGTGATAAACGACCGTTTGTCGAAAGTGGGTGCCTGGGTCACAGCGTTCCGTCACATTCTGGAGCAATGTGGGAGGCCATTGTTCCTCCGATCCATTTATCTCTTCTGGCAGTCGGGCACAAGGGCGCTTTCGTTGCTGGAAAGCCAGCAGTTTCCAGACTTACCCGTCACTACACCTACGCATTTGGCACATGCTCCAGCAAATCTCTCTCTATCAGCATTGACATGGGACAATTGGGAGCCGTATCGGAAACTCCTGAAACCTGCCTGGTCCGCACTTTGCGAGTTCACTGATTTTCTGTATCAGGAGTTTGAGCCGCAGACGCATCCTGAGGCCTTTCAGGCCCTCGAAGATACTTTGTTGCTCGTAGAGAGCGCAGGTGCGATTTGCAAGATCGGCGTCCTCGGCGTGGATACATGGGAGGTCCCATCAAGCTCAACAGGAGGCACACAATGAACTGGGGTGAGATTGGCCCTCCATGCGATGCCTCAGCCTTTTTCTATCTTTGGATGCTCTGTGATCTCTTTGATCTCTGTGATTACCGGATCTATCGGAATGTTTCATGTTAGACACTTTCGTGAATGTGACAGCGGCACGATTTTCAAAGATTTGAAAGTATGGAAAGACCTAGAAAGGTGACTTGCCCCATGTCATCCGTGCAAAAAGATCAAAAAAGCCGCGCAGCAGATCTGGCAGCTATTCACTCGTCTTTGTGCATTTGTTTTGATCTTCTCGATAGACCATTGTCAATCTTGGATATCTTGATGTCTTTCAAAACGGTGGACCATGGTCAAACTTGGATATCTTGATGTTTTTCAAAACGATGGACCTTGTATATGTACGAAATTTGTCCATATATTTTACATATATATATATATATATGTCCATGAAATGGATCAGATCAGGCGACCGGATTGTTCCATATGTTTAGCTTCAGGCAGGTCGACCTCAGAACCCGTTTTGTGGGCCTTATCCAGACATGTAGAGGGCGCACGACACCGAAGCCAGCAGACTGTGCCCGACAGATTCCATCATGTGGGCCATTTCCATTCCTGCGGCCTCGTTTCTCCATGTCCTGTAGGCACCTTTGGAAGGTGCTCCAAAAGGGTCAGAGGCTGGTTGAAAATCGGTGTTTTCAAGAGGGCCAGCCTTGCTATAGCAATTTGTCATTGTGTGGCTAGGACATCGTTTGACATTTTCTTGACATGCGAATGGCATTAGGCCACAGACACCCATAGATTATCCACAGATTGATTTGTATCCAGGCGCATCACCCAGATAAATTTCGGCCCCCTTGCTTGTTGCATTTTGACGCTTACTATGTCTGAGCCCTCGTACAGGAGGCACTTGCGGATGTTTCAGCGAAGAGTCCTGAGGCAGGAATGAAAGTGAGGTTGTGATGTGGAAATCGCTTGATGTGAGATGTTGTGAGGTATATATATATATATTTTTTTTGGCCGCAGTTGAAAATGAAATGAACAGATAAATTCATGTGGCCTCGCAATGCAAATTTGTACCCATGCTCCATATTCTAATTCTTCCAATCCTATTTTTTTTTATATGTATGAAATTTGTCCATATATATGTCCATGAAATACATCAGATCAAGCGACCGGATTATTCCATATGTTTAGCTTAAGGCAGGTCGATCTCAGAACCCGTTTTGTGGGCCTTATCCAGACATGTAGAGGGCGCACGACACCGAAGCCAGCAGACTGTGCCCGACAGATTCCATCATGTGGGCAATTTCCATTCCTGCGGCCTCGTTTCTCCATGTCCTGTCTAGGCACCTTTGGAAGGTGCTCCAAAAGGGTCAGAGCCTGGTTGAACATCGGTGTTTTCAAGTGGGCCAGCCTTGCTATAGCAATTTGTGGCTAGGACTTCGCATGACATCTCTTTGACATGCAAATGGTTTTTGAAGGCCACAGACACCCATAGGTTTTCCACAGATTAACTTGTGTCCAGATAATTTTTGCTTGGCTTGCTTGTTGCATTTTGACGCTGCCTATGTCTGAGCCCTTTTACGGGATCCGGAGGCAGCTTTGGATGTTTCAGCGAAGAGTCCTGAGGCAGGAATGAAAGTGAGGTTGTGATGTGGAAATCGCTTGATGTAAAATGTTGTGAGGTATATATATATATATATTTGGCCGCAGTTGACAATGAAATGAGCAGATAAATTCATGTGGCCTCGCAATGAAAATTTGTACCCATGCTCCATATCCTAATTCTTCCAATCCTATTTTTTTTTATATGTATGAAATTTGTCCATATATATGTCCATGAAATACATCAGATCAAGCGACCGGATTATTCCATATGTTTAGCTTAAGGCAGGTCGATCTCAGAACCCGTTTTGTGGGCCTTATCCAGACATGTAGAGGGCGCACGACACCGAAGCCAGCAGACTGTGCCCGACAGATTCCATCATGTGGGCAATTTCCATTCCTGCGGCCTCGTTTCTCCATGTCCTGTCTAGGCACCTTTGGAAGGTGCTCCAAAAGGGTCAGAGGCTGGTTGAAAATCGGTGTTTTCAAGAGGGCCAGCCTTGCTATAGCAATTTGTCATTGTGTGGCTAGGACATCGTTTGACATTTTCTTGACATGCGAATGGCATTAGGCCACAGACACCCATAGATTATCCACAGATTGATTTGTATCCAGGCGCATCACCCAGATAAATTTCGGCCCCCTTGCTTGTTGCATTTTGACGCTTACTATGTCTGAGCCCTCGTACAGGAGGCACTTGCGGATGTTTCAGCGAAGAGTCCTGAGGCAGGAATGAAAGTGAGGTTGTGATGTGGAAATCGCTTGATGTGAGATGTTGTGAGGTATATATTGGCCGCAGTTGAAAATGAAATGAACAGATAAATTCATGTGGCCTCGTGGAGATATAATACATATGTCCATGAAATCCATCAGATCAAGCGACCGGACTGTTCCATATGCGGAGCTTATAATAGGGCAGGTCAATCTCAGAACCCGTTTTGTGGGCTGTATCCCTGCGCCCTCTACAAGCATGGAGGGTCTGTTATGGGTATTTTCTTGGACAGAAGGTTCATGCCATCATTCCATCCAGTCCCTGTTTATGGGACACATTGCTCAAATTGCTCAGGGCACGAGGCCGCCATTTTGTGGCAGGAAAATTTGGGAAAATCTGATGTGACTGCGGCCAGATGAGTGCAGTTAAGTTTTTCAAGTCCAGGTAAAACACTTGCAGCTTCACCTGCAAGTTCTTTTCTTTTGCTATCTTTTGCTGCTGCGCATGTGCCAGGTCACAGAGCAGCAGTTCCTTGAGTGGTTGCCGACTTCTGAGCAGCCTGGTGGTGACTACCTTGCTTGGCTGCAACTGTTGCCTGGCCAAGAGAAGGAAGGCTTCATCCATGTCCAAAAGCTGTCCTTTGACCGAAGCAATGGCGCTGGGTGGAGAGCAGTCAGCATGGCAAGCATCCGCAAAAAAGCCGGCTTCATCTTTGAGGACTGTCAGATACTGCCAAGGGATTGTACATAGAGCATCATAGAGCGACGAAGAAGCCTTGCCAAAGGTATCATCATGTATCATTGGCTCCATGCATCAAAGCTTTGGTGATTTGCTGGAAAAATCCAGGGGGATAAATCTTGACTAACACGTCGCAATGAGACTTCCCATGCCAAGGCTTTCAGTTGGTGGAGGATTTGTGTGTAGGAGGGGTTTGAGCGGTGCTTCTTTCCAGGATCGGAAGTGGCCGACCAGAACAAACTCACCAATCACAGTCTATGAGAGCAATGGAAATTTCCTCTATGCGCATGGGCACCAGCGAGCTGCCAGTTGTCACGCTGTACTGCAGTTTTGTTTCTGGACATGCATTGGGTGTCAACGTAACTTCCGTATGATCAACATTCAAATTCGGGCCTTGCCTTTCCAAGGCCATCAAAGCCTTGTCGTTTTTTTCTCACCCAAGTAGCAAGGAAACTAGATTGTAACGGATTCCGTACCGACTGTAGCAGCATTTCACACACATGACATGACACGGTGACATGATGTCTCTCTCGATTGTTGCCAACACTCGGCTAGCATTGGCTGGCCCAGAATGGACCTGGATGATCCTGGATGAAACTAATTTTGTTCTCCGACAGTGTGGGTCTTGTTTTTCAAAGCCTTCCTATAAGGCATGGAGAAGGAAGTCATGCCTTCTTGGGTTCGGGACATGCTTCTTGTGCCGGTGGAAGTGGTGAAGAGAACTGTTCCAGAAGCTTGCGCGGAAGGGCTCGCGCGAAGTTTGGAGGTCAGCTTCATGACCACGGCTTTCGAATGGCTGCACCTTATGGATCTGCTTAGCGCAAGTGGCCCTTTGAAGATGAGTTTCGAGGCTCGAGATGGATGATGATGGATGCGTGCTGTTATTTTTGTTATATTTGGACACACTGTATGGACATGCGCAGTCAAACATTGGGACATGGTGAGGAATGTGTGGGCGGGATGATGGAGCTGCAAGAGCTTTCCCGGTGGATTTTAACCTCCTATAGTCCTAAGCGTATGCTATCGATACTTGTTGATTGCCAAGAATAAAAGGTATTTAGATGACCTTGATGGGGACATTGTGGGGACATTTCTTTTCAGCAGCACCACGTCATCGGCCTGCATAGTTGTGCTTGGCAGGATTTCAAGCGTGTCCTGAAGGAGAAGGTCTCGTCTGAGGCATTGTTGCGCACGAAGGGTTTAGACCTGAAAAGATTTTCCATCATCCGCGAACGTCTCCCTCCAGCATCGTTGCAGAGGATCCGACGGACGGCAGAGCTGTGCGGAGAGGGCCCCACCATGTCCATTTTCAGAGATGTCCGAGACCTTACCGAATCTAAAATCAGGGCGTCCAATGTGGAATGTCTCTCGGAGCGGGCTCAACTTGCAATGACGTACCGGCTCATGCATGAGCTGGAGAGCAGATGGAAGAGCTCCAGTAGCATGACTGTTGCCCAAGCCAAGTTGGAAAAATGTGGTGAGTGGTTGCAGTGGTGGGAGCTCGCGCGCCAATTCGACAAGAAGCTTGGCAATCTGAAATTTGCTGATGAGGAGGTGGTACTCCTAGTGAACTGCTTCGCAGAGGGCCAATTGGATGCTGTCTTGACCCCTGAATGTACCACACCCTCGAAGAGCTGGGCTCCTGTCCAGAAGATTATGTGGTTGAGGCGGGAGAAGTCCTGCAACTCCCTGCGTCAGCAGAGCAATGCTGACATCGAGGCCACGAAACAGAAATTGCTTCAGATGGAGAAGGATCAGTGCTCTTCTGAAGGCGGGGTGGGTATTTCATGGTATTTCGGGGTGCAATGCAAGCGAGCGTTGCATTATACATCTTTATTCAAAGAGCGTCAAATTAAACAAACATACCCTGCATGGACGCGTTGCTTACGCCCACGGGGCGTAGGCGATGCGGACGCTCAGGGAGCGATGCGCCAGCTCCGAGGGGTGGGACCGCGTTGTCGTCCAAAAGGTCGCGCTGCTTACGCCCGCGGGGCGTAAGCGATGCTCCTTGTTTTTGTTTTTTTGGCATTTTTTGACCACATTTTTTGGCATGTTTCTGCAAGCAAATGTGGGCCTTAAGTGTAGGATGGTTACATGGGTTTATCTTGATGTTCTCATCTATTTGGAGCTGTTTCTGCAAGTAAATATGGACCTATGGCATATGATGATTACATGATTTTTACACCTGTGCTGAATTAATTTCACATTGGCAGGAGGCAAATTTGAAGACCTCCAACATCTATTTTTACATTTATTGAATTTCAAGGATTTTCCAATAATTTGCAAGGAATAATATACCTTCTATAAATCTAAATTACATGTGTAAATGATGAAAAAGTGTAGAATTCATTGAAAATAACAGGCAATTGAGGCCCTCTAGGGATACAGATTGCAATTATGATTTTATGCAATTTTGCAGCTATTTGCAGACCTCCACACTATTGTTCTTGCATTTTTCCATGTTCTTACATTTGTTTCCGTAAAATGCAACTTGCAATATTGGACGCCCCCCCTGGAAAATAATTGCAAGTCGGTAAAACGTGGGGGTACATAATTGCAATCTACGAACCTATCAAAAAGCAAGCTTGCAATAAAGACGTTGAAAAACATGTAAGCATACATTTTCATAGGTCCCCCCAAAACAACGTCTTATTAGCAAGCTTGCATTTTGAGCGTCCCCCCTCATTAAAAGGGTGGTGATCATATATTCATTTATTTATCTATTGATCTATTTATATATTGTTTATTTTCATGTTTATCATTTTTTAATTTACAGGTGCATGTAGGGATGCATACTACATGTATAAATAAAGGTCTGAAAAGGTCCTCAAGGCTTTACTCTGCAGGACTTCGGGCTGCCTTCCATCGAGCTTGTACGCTAGCAGGAGTAGCCAGCCTGGTGTCCTCACACATTGCTAGCCGGGAAATCCCAAACTGAATGGAGGTTTTACTGGAAAAACCAAGAAGCATGCGGATTTTATGGTGACTTGTGGAGAATTATGGGGATTCTTATGGGGATTCTTATGGGGATGTAACTATAACCAACAAGAATCAAGCATGGCTCAAATGAAATATCCTTAAAATGGTCCATTAAATTTCTTAAATGAAGGGGCCATCGGACTATTGCAGGGGGATTTTCCAGCAAACCATGTTTGATTGCCGGAGGGTACGTGTGTATGAGTAGGCATGTAGCCGTATGTATAATATGCTTAAATGAACAATTCAATGAGACAAAGAGACCGAGAGATCAGTGAATCAACAGAGATCGAGAGATCAGTGAATCAACATGTGAGGAAACGAAAGAATATTGAATAAATTCATCGAATTGAATTTTACGGGTCAAAGCCTCCAAGACCTCCAAAATATGGATGCCAGCGCTTTTTTGGTTCCAGTCTTCTCATGAAAAGAAACATCCAGGTTGATACACTATTCAGGAAATTCAGGATAACTATCATTTCTTATCTGGCAAACAACTCTGTTGCAGGACAAAGCATGGACCCCAGCGCTATGAGCGAATGGGTGAACATTGAGTCGTCGCCGCTTGCAAATGAGGCTGGGGATCAATCCTTACCCGCCGCATGAAACTGGAAGTCTCCCATCGCAGGTCTACAGCAGCAACTTCCACGTGCCATACGAACCGTTGCTGCCAAAGGACATTCGCAGAGTTGAGCAAGCAGAGGTTGGATCCTGCTGATTCGGGGAAATTTGATGCAACACGAGGTTGGTTGAGAAAAACGGGGTCAGAAACATGATTTTAACTAACAGGAATTGACATATCCAGAATGATGTAGAATTCATTTGTGTCTCTTGATTGGAAGAATCAACCAATTTTTAGGTCTGCGAAGGGATGATCATGCGAGATCCGAGCAATGAAATCTGACACTTTGCTTTTTGGCTCAGAGCCTTAGTGTCTAACACCGTCCTTGCTCCGCGCTCCGCTTTCGACATATCCGTCAGCTCGACAATGTCAGTCAGCGCTGAGGAGGTTGCCAAGCACAACACCGACAAGGATTGTTGGGTCATCGTGGGAGACCAGGTGCTTGACGTCACCAACTTCCTCAGCCACTCGCATTGCTTGATCGAAGATGCCAAATGTTAGTCTTCTTGAGATGCTTCATACCCACTGGTCATTGAACATAGCCATGGAAAATCAGCATATTTAACTAGGCAAATATAGGTGAATCGTTCATAGCTATGCTCTGAGGCTATTTGAGCTGTATTTGTGTTGTGGTATCAGCAATGATCCGAAGCAAACGGCAGGTACGAGGCAGGTGGCCTGTTGATTCATGTTGATTCCTTGCAAGGTGAGCACCCTGGCGGGAAGAAGTCCATCATGATGTTTGCTGGCAAGGACGCCACTGAGGAGTTCGACATGCTCCATGACCGCAAAGTGATCAAGAAGTACGGCATTGATGAAGGCACTGTGGAGCTCAAGGGCACTATCAAGAAGTGAGAAGGCTGAGAAGGTGGCAACGCCTTCCCAAGATTTGAAGAAGCCCCGGCTTGTGCCGCTGGGCCATTTTGAGAAACGTCCGCGTCGTCCGCAGACCATTACAGACAGAGAAAACCGAGCGGGTGCACAACCATGGCCGGTCTGGGTCGGTCACAACAGCATGAAGTGATCTGGGCGCTCTTAAGATGCTAATTCTATGGCGTACGGGTTTATATCAATAGTTGACGGGGTTATAGAAAATATAAATCAACTTACAGTATTTTTTTCCGCAGCGATATGCAGTTCATGTAGAACTACACTTCAGCAGCAGCTTTCCGTCAGCCGAATGGAGAAACAAGATGAAAAAGAGAAAAAATGAAAAGAACAGGAGAATCTGTGGCTGCAGGGTAAGCTACTAACCAGCGCCTATAACACGGGACCCGATGGTTTTATGTAGGTGGACCCCAAAACCAACGAAACGACGGAGAAACAATAATCACAAAGGAGAAAATATACTTAAGGAGGTCGGTCCCGTGACGCACAGCAGGGTTCGTGACCACTTGTCTCCCGCTTTGGAGAGTAGAATTAGGAAAGAGAGAAAGTAACAACGATGGAGTGACCGTGGCCTCCCCCTGCGAGCTTTAGCTGCGAGGCAATGGAGTTAATGCGGCAAGGAGTAATTTTGTCTTGGCCCCTAAAAATGAAGCGGAGAGAGCTCAATAGAAATTCGCCACCTGTGATGTGGCATGGTGTGGTTGGAGCTGATGATAATAGTTTCCTGGTGGTAGTTACCTCCAGGCAAAAATTTCCTTATAACAAATTTCGCTTTATAAACAGGGATTTTCAGTCCCGCGAGAACAGGACATGGAAATTGCCACGGCTGCTTCAGTGCAGAATGACGAGGAGTGTACATGTCAGCAAAAGAAGAGAGCTTGATGTGGAAGACGTCCCCCTTTGTCTTCATCTTGGGGTGAAATGTGGAAAATCCAGAAAAATGTGCGTGGAGAATAATGCGACCGAAACGAGACACAAGGAGACCCAGTAAGAGATGGTTGAATTTGTACTGGTTCCAGCAAACTTGGAGAACGAAATGTAGAAGAGACTGTGCAAGGCTTCCCCCACAGCCATGAGGAAGGAATTGAACACGACAAATACAGAAAATAGTGAGTGGAGAAAATGTCGATGTAGAAGAATTTGCCCGAACAGCAGGCGGAGCTGGTATATAGTGCAGAAGCGGTCGCCAAAAGGTTGTCCAAGTAGAAGATGGATGCTGCCTGAATTGTACGCGAGGCTGACATGGCAGAAAAAGAATCTTGATTGGACATTCCTGAAAATACAGAGGTTTGCGAACGGAGGCTAGTTAAAACTGCTGCCCGTGCCTTAAATCAACTTATAATCCGCCATTAACAGGTTCTGTTTGCCCCCTCCTACATCCATTTATGCAATGGCCACACTCAGTTGCCCGTTGATTCAGTTCCCGTGCAGGTGGAGGGAGCAGACTTGTGGTTGATGTCCCCGTCGGCCACTCAAGGGGGCGCAGGAGACCTTGAATGCTGACATTCATCTATATAAATGGAGGTTTTAATGTGAAAATCACCTATGTAACATGATATAAGTGTGGATTTTCGACGAAATCATTGATTCATAGCCTTTGTTAAACTACATTTTGATCTTGAATGCTGACATTCATGGACTGAAATCAGCATACGGTACCTCCCCATGGCCCGGCTTCATCAACCAACGCCAGCCACGCCTGGTTTTTTGAAGCTTATGTTTTTCCATACATTTTCCCCATCAAGTGGTAATTTCAACCAACTTTCGCAGCATGTTTGATGCTGAAATCTTGCCAGTTTTTCATTTTTTTCTGGAAAATATCCGAATTTTTCATGCTGATATGGAGTCCCTCCATTTTTCACACCCCATTTAGATGATTTTTGGCCTTGCGCCTAGGCCCTGCCAGCCCTACACGCGGATGGGTCTTCAACGAGACTTGGAGGATCGCCGCGCCAAACCCTTGCTGCACCTCACTGAGCTGGTGCCCAAGTTGCAGCAACCACCACAGGTGCGGCCAGGGCGGTTTTGACTACAGGAAAGCGATAGGAACACAGGGGAATGTGATGGACGTTAAACGGATGTTATGTGGGAAAGTAGAGGATGTAGAGCTTTTATACGAAGATTGGGATTTTGATCAAGGAAAGTGGGGATTCACTCACCCAAAGATCTCATGCAAGATCCACGCTATGCTGTGTGCATCTCCAACTGATTCTTTTTCCCAGCTGGGTTGTCTTATGCCAGATACCTCTAAAACATCCCAGAAAAACAAGGCAACCGGTTGACTCGCAACTTTAACTGGCAAAATGTATACAATTTCCTCCGAGTTTCCGGTATAGACTATGTTTGGAGGTTTTGCCAGCTGATTTTTGCGGCACAAAATGCAGGCCATTTTGTTGGAGAATGTGGTTGGCTGCCACCTCAGAGGGTCCTTGGAGCTCATGTTGGTTCTTGGGTTTAGGATCAAACAGTTGGAAGCAGACCTTGACCGTGAAAAACACATTGTTTCGTCACGAAGATCTGGCTTTGTTCCGAATTGCTGGCGAAATCACCCAAAAAATGGGTCAAACTCCCCAACAAACCCATTCAAATGGCCATAATTTGGGTGAATTCTCATCATTCTCCAGTCTTTACACGTCTTTAGCCCGAGGATTTGAAACTTCGGGCTCCTTCCAGGTGCTGTCCCAGGCTTGATGCTGCAGGTGATGGGATTCGGCACTTGGGTTCAACGAAAACCATTAGTTGAACACATTGATACACTCATTGAAACACACGGGGAACCCACACGGGGAACCAGGCATTGTAAGACATAAAGTAAGATATTGGATGATTTGTCAGATGCGAGATCTATTTTTACATCATTTTTCCGATCGCATCAGGGCTGGATGTACAGGCACTATGTGGTGCCGGCATGGAAGTTCATCAGTTCAGCCTCAGCCCTCTGCAGCTCGGAAGCTTGACTGAAAGATGTACAAGTTTCCATTGTTTCCACATTGAAAATCATCAATTTTGGATGATTTTGGGTCGCCCCACTTTCAGAACCCACCCTCAGTTTTCAAATTGCTGGCAATTTCTGATGATATTCCAAGAAATGGCTGGTCTTACATGATTTTATATTTCATTTGTCCCATTAGATTTCCATGAATACCATATTCAAACTACGACCGGTCGTTGATTCCACTGCTGTCGACCCGAAGGGATTCCGAACCGTCGACCCCGGATCTACGTCCTGGCTTGTCAGTCGGAACATCCCATTGTGCATCCGCTGAAGACCGCAGCTCAGCTGGCAGAGCATTGTTTATGTGGTAGAGCCAAGAACAGAAATGATAGGAATGGCAATGATGATGGGAATGATGGTATTGAGAATGATGATGATGATGATGACGATGACGATGACGATGAGGATGACGATGACGATGATGATGATGATGATGGTGGTGGTGGTGGTGGTGGTGATGGTGATGACAATGGGGATATGAATGATAATGTTATGATTATGATGACCATAATAAGAACAAGCCACAACCTATCTACCCCATTTATTTTACTGCTCGGAGGTGATTGAAATCCATTGAGTCCGCAGTGGCGCGGTTGAGCCACGGACAGAGGGGCACAGAGTGTGCAGAATTTTCGGAACAGTTCTACCCTCCCTTCTGAAAGATGCAAAACAATTTTTGAGTCAACCACAACATTCTCGAAATGCAAGGAGGACCCGTTTGGCGTTTCTGTTTCCGTGATTCTGAAAATCTTCCGAAATTTCCAGCTGCGCTTCTTCAAATCCAAGGAGTTTCCAGGGCGTAGCTTGGATACGGCTCCAAATCGCCAGCTGGTAGAATATCTACAAGCTGAGGAGTTGGAAAGCTGGTTTTCGGCTCCTGGAAACTTTGCATTGAAAACATGTGCGCCAATTTCTAGCCGTAGGACATCGATGCCGAGAGCACTTGCGTCCCGGAGCGGTTGCTGGAGCTACTATGGGACCAGGGACAAAGATGGGAGGCTGATCCTGTGGTCGGTTCATCAAAGAAGTAGGGCACCATATTAACGTCCTACTGTGGATGGAAGAAATCCTGCACCAGTTGAAAACGGTGGTTTATCCCATTATTTATAGGGTTTCAACCATCCTTTTGGTGGTGCAGGATATCTTCCACCCACCGTATTGTTGGGGGATACCTTTCGGAGTGTACCTTTGAAATTTCCACAAAGATGAGGACGATGAGGACCAGGACCAATATTTTTCGGCAGAGATCAAGGGCGACTTGCCGAAAGAATATGGGCAGACTTGATTCAACAATATTCAACATGTTTTTCATAAGGTTTCTCTATGTTTCTCTTATTTTCATTCATTTTCGACTCAATTGGAGGCTTCAGTAGGCCTTCCCAACCAGCAGGGCCCTATCTTCCAACGCAGGTGGTCACCGGCCAGAGCACCAGCTCATCTACCTTTACCTCAGGTGCCTTCACATATCTTAGGATTTGTTCCAAGCTGAAACAAAGTGCTTGGTGGTTTGTTTCACTTCATCTTCCATTGCACCTGGAACCCAATTGACCCACATTTTTTCAAATGATACTTCATAGGTATCTGGACCACTGAGGGGTTGTAGATTTCCGGTCCAGTTTTTGCGCCGGGAAACTCCAGGATATACGACAGCTTGCTACGAAGCTCACCGTTTCGGACCTCTCCTGGCATGAGACTCCGAAGGCAACTCACACCACTTCACCCGCCCAACAAGAGCTGGTAATGAACTGGATGTCTATCTTCCAGATCGGCACTATAGGTGAGATGATTTAGTCCAATATTTGAGTTCATGGAACATCTTGTGTCACGTACTTTTTGGGGTCATATGGGGTCTGAAAATGGGGCAATGTTTCAAAGAACGATTTACAACTCATACTCCAAGAGTCAAGTATACCAACTGACGAACTGCTTGTTGGATTTTCGGTACAGTAGATTTGTGTTTTTGCTTTTTTTTGTTCATCAATGTCACTTTAAGTTAAATCAAAACCCCATATCACTTGAGACCTGCCCATTGCTTTCGTCAAATCTTCAATTCTTGGCTTCATATCCAGCGATTTTCTTCTTGATTTAAATCATTCAAGTCGCTTCAAGTTGATTTTTTCCTGGACATATCCAACTTCATCCCTTACTTTTTCACATTTTTCCTGGATTGCCAATGGGGAAAGCCTTGTTGGTCCCGCATTGACTGAGCCCAGATTGAACTCCTCTGGAAACACCAGGCCTCACCGGCTCCCGCGGGGAGGACGCACGGCCCCGGGTGTTGCCGGGGGGCCGCATACAGCGCTTGGTGGAGCCTGGAGAGGACTTGAGGCAGCGGAGTTCTGCCTGTAAGCAGAGAATCTGATAGTACCTTATAGTACCAGTAGTAATAATGACTATCATTAGTACTAGTACCAGTCACTAATATGAGTAACCATTATAGTCATTATTACGGTACTATGGTAGTAATATTGATCATATAGTCTGGTGCTGTAATGGTTACGGTCATGATGATGATTAATTTCATGAGTAGTAGTACCAGTCATGATAATCATCATGAGTGGAATGACAATGGTAATCTAATTATACGATGATAGTCAATCATGACTGGATGATGATGATGATGGTGATGATGGTGATGGTGATGGTGATGATGATGATGGTGATGATGCTGATGCTGATGCTAATGCTGGTGGTATGATGGTGGTGATGGTGGTGATGATGATTAATTTGGTGGTGATGATGATGGTGGTGATGATGATGGTGGTAATGATGATGGTGCTGATGCTGATGATGATGGTGGTGGTGGTGATGATGATGGTGGTGGTGGTGATGACGATGGTGGTGATGATGGTGGTGGTGATGATGGTGGTGGTGATGATGACGATGGCAGTGCTGCTGCTTCTGATGATGATGGTGGTGGTGATGATGAGGATATGATATGATATGATATTATATGGTATGGCAGTGCCAATAGCACAACTCCGATGATTATGCTTGTGATGTTATTATGATGATTTTCTATTATTGGTAGTAGTAACTTAGTAGGACGATAAATGATAATTATGATTGATAATGGATGATGATGAGGATAATTATTCCCTTTGAGGCTGATAATCTAGGCAACCCAATGCCATAAAGCTACCATTTCCCATTTGTGGTGAAATTGGGGGTGCTTCATTGTTGGGCTTGCCACATCAATGACAATCATTATTGATGACAATGCTGACAATGACGACGATGACGACGATGATGACGATGATGGTGATGATGATGATGATGACGATGATGATGATGATGAAGGTGCTGGTACTAGTGGTGGTGATGATAGCAACTGCAAAAAATATATCTTGTATCTGGAGAATAAGAATGCCCCAAAGAATAACTCTCCCAATGCTTATAATAACCAACAAAAATACTTAATATCCAGATAGATATCCAGTATAGGCTATGGAGTAGAGACGGGATCATTTGGTTTCTACATGATATACACTGGCAAATTAATGTTAATCGATATTGAGAACAACCCATATGTTGTCTCAAAATGGCCCCTGACAAACGCAGGGTAAGTTGGGTTGGCTATTTAGGCTACTGGTTGGATTTGTGAGGGATTCCGCACATCTACAGTTGGTTGAGGAACAGAAACCATTTTTTTGTTTTATGGTGGGCCTTCCTGCATCCAAAATCATTCTCTCAAGAATCAAACTTTTCAATCGCAGCCTCAGGAAACCCATTTCACCAAAATTTGAGATGATGAAATTTGGGGCGAAACGACCCAAGACGCTTGTTATGTATATATATATATGTATACACATATAAACATACAAGCACCAGTTCTCGTACTGTCATCAATTTGATGAACATTCAGGAGCGAAACCAGAAAAAACAGGATGTAGTCTAAAGAATTGGGTTTTCACCGACCCCCAAAAACACAAAATGTAGCAACTTAACACACGACGAAACCAAACCTCGAACCTTGTGAATTTAGCCAGGAAAAGTGATGCATTTGACGGGCATGTGTCGAAACCAGAAACCATGTTTTTCCATTGGATTTTCCAACAGAACATGTTTTTGAAGATATGCCAGCATTTTGGGTTGCCCAATTTGGCCGATTTTCCAACAGGTCAAATCTGCTGATCTGTACTGATTTTCCCAGTCCTAGGCGGTCCTCATTGTTTTGGAGACCCTCTGGCAATGGAAAATGAATGAGTGATATCAACTTCAGAAATGTGTTTGATGTTTCCGGCCTGGCATGATTTCTAGAGATTCTAGAGGCTTAGCTGTTGAATTTGGACCCGCGTTCAGGTATTTTACCACTGTCGAGCTGTTGCGTTTGCATGGCTTTTCGGAGCACTTTCAATTCCCAGAAAGCGTTACGCAGCACCAGCGCCGGAGCCACAGTTGTCCATGGTAGACATCAGTAGACATCCTACAGGAGGGGCCCCCCAGTTATAACTTGGTTTATATACCATGACAAAACCCCCATTAATTAGTTCGTTATATCTACCATAAACCATAGTTAAACCACTTATAAGGCAACTTAGCGATCTTGGGGGCCCCATCCTGTACCATACAGTCATAAAGATATGGACACTCCACCGAATGTAGATCATGTCCGAACGGTCAACAGTTGAATGGATTTCCATAGAGATGTTTGTTGGGGGCTAGCAACATTGGGTTGATGAAATTATCATTTTGCAGCAACTGTGGAGTTTCAGAGAGCAGAAACACCACATTGGGTCAGTGGGAAGAAAACGTTTTTACATTCTAAAAACTTTGGCAAAATAAGAATCCTCTATCCATATCTATAGATCGTGTTTACATGAAAGGATTTACAGGCAGATGTTTGATTACAGGTGGATAGGCTGGGGAAAAATGCTGAGGTTACAAGCTGATTGGCGACTCCATTAGTGTGGATGTGGTAGCAGAGTTGCTGAGATATCTCCTCTTTGAGAAGACGTCTCTGGGGGCAAATTTACGTGCAACAAGTGCAAAAGGCAGCTTTGCAAGGCCACGTAGTGCCCAGTTGACTCTGACTTTCATGTTAGTGTGATTCTGCTACCTACTTGATCCTACTTGTAGCTTTGTTGGAATTCATGTGACTCATATCGGCCATGGATGTTGAAGAGTACTGAAAAACACCAATCTAGCCAGACTTTCTGATTTTCCGGGTCATGCCATGTCATGCCAAAATTGAACCATACTGATTCTGATACCCCCATATTTCGGGCAGAAGCCGTTTGCTCGGTGTACCTGGTTCAAGCGCTTCACGGCGCACATATGGACAACTCTGTGCGCACAGATTGGACAATCATTGATCAAATCCTTCGTCTAATACTGGACAGCGCTTGGCACAACACATCTTTCTAAACGGTTAAGTATTGAACATATTTTTGCTGACTTCATTTGTTATTCATCAAAAGTTGTCATAATTGTCATAACTTTTTTTCGCGGACGATTGTTGATTCCACATCTTGCCTTGCCGAGCATCCTCTACATTCTGCCTGCGCTGGGCTCAGGGTTCTTTTGAGGTAGATCATGGTCGGTCATCGCCATGACCATGTTGTGACCATGGTGTTTTAAATCCACCGTTTTAAAGCCCAAAACATGCCGTATTGTTATTGTTGGTTATGCTTATGTCATATCCCATGATATCCCATGATTTGCCCATTGTTGATTTGCATCATCCCAGTTTTCGTATCCCGTATCCCAGAACAAGATCCGCTTTCAAAAAAGCATTCCCATTACCTGCCCAGTATCATGATGGAGAGTTATATATATATATCCCAGGATAAAGTCCATAAATTACATTGTTAGGCAATGTGTTCCCATGATATTATGGACTTCTAATTTTAATGTGATTTAATGGGATATATCATGATCATATTTCACATGATATATCAGATTATCGTTGTTAGATAATCCCTTTCTAAAAATGTGATGATATTTCACCAATTTCTATATGATCATGAAAAATCCCATTAAATCACATATAGAATCCCATGATATCCCAAACAAACACTTGGGATTTCTCTTTCTGAATGGAGCTCCGGCCGCATCGTCTCTCGTTTCGCCAGGTCAGCTCAAAAAAAGTCTCGCGAATTTTTTTTCCGTCGAGATGGCGGAGGCGGGGAAATGTGGTTGGAACTCTGGGTCAACCTTAGATACTGACATATACAGGATGGGGCCCTCCAGTTATAAGTTGGTTAACCCCATCTAAATATGGTTATAAGTACCATACACTATGGTTATTATAGTTGTAAACCAACTTAGCAAACCATGGGGCCCCATCCTGTATATATAGGCTTGTCCTGGCTTCTGGAACTTGTCCTGATGCGTTCATGGAACTGCGGCAGCAGTTGATGCTACGCACACGCGGGGGGGGGGGGTTGGGTGGGATGTTAACGTTCATGTGAACTTGCGGCAGCAGTTGATGCTACGCACATGCGGGGTGGGGTGGGGGGTGGGGTGGGATGTTAACGTTCATGTGAACTTGCGGCAGGATGTTAACGTTCATGTGAACGGGACAAGTTTTACCAACCTAATTCAGGTTTGCGCGGTTCCAGAAGCGGGGACGAGGATGATGATGATGATGATGATGCTGATGATTATGATGATGATGATGATGATGATGATGTGATGCTGATGATGATGATGATGCTGATGATGTGATGATGATGATGATGACGATGATGCTGATGATGATGTTGATGATGATGAGGATGATGATGATGAAAATGACCCAAATGAAACTTGTAAATTCCGGGACGAAATTTCGCCCCGGAATGGACAAGTTTTCCCAACCTAATTCAGGTGGTCCGCAGTTCCAGAAGCGGGGACGAGGCTATATATACATATATATATATACATATATATATATATATACATATATATATATACATATATATATATGTACATGTATACATATATATATACATATATATATATGTACATGTATACATATATATATATATACATATATATATATATATATATGTACATATATATATATGTATGTATATATTAGATATATTTTACCGAGGTTGATCCAGAGGCCCAGTATAGATACTTTAGTACTTTGATTTCTTGCTATGGTGAAATGTACTGACAAACAAGTGTATGTGTGTATATATATATATACATTTGTTTGACAGGCATCTAAGATTCACCATGACTACAGGAAAATATTGGTTAAGGTAATTAATGGTTAATATGGATTACTAATGGTTATTAATGTCAAACTGTATACTTCAGGATGACTATAGTCATATCATATGGGAATAACATATATAGTTTCATCCATCTAGTTTAAATCATGTCAAACCCACTTGAGATGTTATATACTTAAGCATAGGAAATCCAATCATCATCATCATCACCGCCATCATCATCATCACCATCATCATCATCATCACCACCATCATCATCATTATCATCACCACCAACATCATCATCATCATCACCATCATCATCACCATCATCATCATCATAATCATCACCATCATCATCATCATCGTCGTCGTCGTCGTCGTCATCACCACCACCACCACCATCGTCGTCGTCGTCGTCATCATCAGTACCACCACCACCACCACCAGCAGCAGCAGCAGCATCATCATCATCATCATCATCACCCAAATGGTCACCATTTCCCCTGGATTAGCTCAGTTTCCAGCGAAATTCACAGCGAGATTCTCACGAAATCTTATTTGAGATCCAGGCGCCAAACCCCGCTTTCCTGGTGAAGGAGCGAAGTCAGACCATCTCAGTGATCGGGCCGATCGGGTCAAAGTTTGTGCCTTTTTTTGCGGGGTAAAAAAGATATGTTTCTGTTGGATAAGTATGATAAATAATGATAAATCTGGCTGGAATGGTGGCGTGAAGAAGTTTATATCTATCAATTTTGATGGAGGAATCTCTTTTTTTGGAAAGGGAGTATATATCTGTGGTCAGTGATGCTCTGAACTCTCCGATGTTGAAGCTGCAATGGTTTCGAGTTGATTGAAATTCTTGACCAACTTGGACACTTAAGTGCTAAGAAGGCACATTCTTCTATGACTATGACACTCCGCTTGTTTTCAACGGACAAAAAGATCGTTGTTTTTTTCCTGGTTTCAACTTCGATCCATCCGAAGCATCCCAACCCGTTGGGGAAAACGGTTCGGGGGGGATAAGCGTTGAGGTGCTCACCTTCAGACGGATCCAAAGATGCAAGAATTGAAACATAAGACCAGGCGCGCCGTTGGGCATAGCGACATGGGATGAATAGGATGAATTTGATGAATGATATGGGATTAATGGATATTAATGGGTCATAACTATTGATAGAATTGATAATGACAGTTTTCTGAATTCCTGGGTCATAGCTATTGATAGTGATGAATAATGGGATATGGCATGATATGGGTTTAATCTCTGTCAATTTAAGATAGCTATGGACAACAGCATGTTTAGCAAGTAAATCAGCGGTGGATTTTCCATTGTTATTTTAAGTTGCCACAGGGTACGTTTAGTTTGTATCTCCAGGATCAGGTGACGAAGGACAGACTATTTTTCAGCCTCTGAAATTCATGGAATGCATCAGTGATGGAAGAGCAATGACTTCTGCGTTTCCAGCTGCGGTTGATCTTTGTGATGCAACATGTTTGCATATGTTTGCATAAGACTTACGAAGTGACCTGTCAGCAGCTTTTCCTCAAAATGACATGACAATCCGTCACAACAGCAGCACTTTTCATACTTTTCACTTTTGGATTTTAACTCATTACCGCGAAAGTTCATTTGGGCACGGGTCAAAATTCAAGGGAATCTTAGGGAACCATGATTCTTGGTGAGTTTTGGTTTCACATTACAACAAAACCATATTTTCACGGGGACAATTTTGACCCAACCCCCTTTATGCATTTTGTCCATCCGAGCAATGGGTCCCATTTTGTTGGTTTGAGGGGTAGTTCTACCCTGTTTCCTGCAGATTTTAGTTTGAATCAATCCATTACAAAACTTACAAGGTCAGTGCTCAAACATGATCAGCCAATCACTGTGACTGTGGAGGGTGTTTCAACCAATTTTGGACCGAAGATGAGCTAACTCGCCGTACTGCGTTCCATGGTGGATGCTTGTGAAGATGAACAAACAGCCTTGCTGAAGAAGCGCCTTGGTCAACCTGGGTGAAGGGTAGTTTGATGTTTTCTTTTCCCGTAGTTTGAATGGAGATACATAATGATAGATTAGCATAGATTAGCTATGTTCAGAACCTGGATTTTCTTATCCAAGTAGGAAATGTGGGGGGAGCTTCGGGGTCTCCAATCATTGTGACCTATCCGTTTATCCTGAATATAGGGGCCGTTCCAGAAAAAAAAAATGCCGTTTGAAGTGGGATCACCATACCCAGTAGATGATTCGAAATCAGTTTGCTTGTTTTCCGACATTGAAATTCATGTGTCCAGATGGATTCCGTTTGATTGTTCGCAGCCGACTTTGTTTCGGAATCTTGTTTGGTTCGCTCACCAATCCACCTGTGGATCCCAACGTATCCTACGCTGTGAGGTATGTGCTGTCGCGAAAGGAGGAACTGGAGAAGCTCGCAGATGCGGAGGACTGAAATACCTTTTGCTGGTTTTCCTGGCCCAGTTTTTCCAGACAAAACGCAACGTTTGTCCTCAGGATTGGGTGCTGACCCAGTGAAACAGAAGGACATCCAATTGAATACCTATCGATTGAATTCATAGATTTATTATGATTTATTAACATTTCGAAACATCACCAGGAACTCCCCCCCAAAAATGGGGCCTGGAAGTCATGTTGTTTCCAACTTCAGTCATCATAATTCTGCATGTTTGATAACACAATATAACAACATATATACAATTCTCAATAGGTTTTCGTTTTTCCCCATATGCTCTGCAAAGAAATAGCCCAAAAAGGGCTCATTCATTCTCATTAGCCATTATATAACCATTCATTCAAACAAGGGCTAATTTTGCTTACCATTCGCTATTATATACCCTCTAGTTATTTAACATAGCCATGGTATAAATAGCCCATAGAAATAGATGGTTTACCTATTAAAAGCATGGTGATTTTCCATGGCAAACTGTCATAACCAGATGGCAAACCATTACTAATCCCATATGCATCGCCTTAGGACAGCGCCGCTGGGCCGCTCTCGGTGTCCCCCTTCGTGCCCTGCGCTGCCTCGCGGATTCCCTACATTTTGCAAGCGGCGCGCCTGGGCCCCGAGGAGCCTTGGCCTGGGACCTGCCTTTTTTTTGTGCCAGGGATGATGTGTGAACCATGACATGAGGGGAAAATGGACACTGAACTATGAAAAAATGAAGGAAAACGGGGATTTAACTGATTAACAATGAAAAATGATTGAACATGGGGATTTTACTATGAAGAACATTGTGATTTAATCATATCGAACCACGAAACATGCTGCAAAATGGATTTTACAAAGACAAATATGGCTTTAATCGCTTGAAACGGAGACTCTACCAAGAAAAACACCTCACTATTCTCCATTTTGTTTGGTACATCCCCCAAATGCGTTTTCTCTTGCAGTAAGTATTGATGGTTAATATATCCGACATTATCCGACTATATCCCCGAAAATGGATGTGTATTCCCCATCAATTAATTTCCCATCAATTTTCACAGATTTGTTGCTTTTATCCTGTTTTGACATTGAATTTTCCATCAATGTTCCCAAAAAACTTCAAATTTCCCATAGATCTCGCATGAGTTTCCCATCAATTTTCCCACACATTTGGATTTTTCCCATGGATTTCCCATGGATTTCCCATCGTCCGCAGGATGTTCTCTGGGACCTGGGCTGCGGCGACGGCGTGGTGCTGATCGAAGCCGCCAAGCGCTGCGGCTGCCGCTGTGTGGGACTGGACATCGATCAACCGTGGCTCCGTCAAAAATGGTGGCTTTCACCATGGTTTTGGAGCAATTTTTGGGAAGATCTTGGGAAGACAGATGGGAAGATAGATGGGAATCACATATATATATATACGTATATATATATATACTTTTGGGAAGAGATTTTTCATTGCACCAAAAGTTAGAGTCAAAGATTTGAGAAAGGCATGCCCCACCACACATAAAAGCAACTTTTCTGGGAAGAGATTGGGAATAACACATATATATATATATATTGTACAACACACATATTTTTGATAACCTTTAAATTTTATCGGGAGTACCACATATATATATATATATTTATAAAATAGTAAATATATTGGAAATACACGGGATATAATTTGATATATATATATAATGGGATATACACGCAACACAATATGGGAACGGCGGAACATTGTATACTAAATTGTAAATATGACACATGTGCAAAACCTTCTAAGTAGATACCCCTTTCATAGAGAATGAGCATATCATTAATACGAAATACTGTGGATTGTTGCGAAATCCTGCATCAGTTGGTATATGCTTATCCCCAAAAACAATCCCATTATTGTGCCAGTGTTTCACAGTTACCCTCTGGTAATTTAACATAGCTATTGAAAATTGCCATTTATAGTTGATTTACCTATTAAAAATGGTGATTTTCTATAGTTTTTTGTATGTTTACCAGAGGGTACCTGAAGGGTTGCCAAGTGGTGCAGGATTTCGCAACCATCCAGGAATCCACTTGAGGTGCATCGACCTGGCACGTGCGCGGGCCGCCGAAGCTGGTGTCGAGCAGCTGTGCTCCTGGATGAGATGTGACATGCTGCAGCTGCCTCAGGCCTGGCAGCGATGGAAATCACCATTTTTCACAGATAAATCATTGAAGTAAAATGGGCCATGGCTTCCATAGCTATGTTAAATACTGGGATTGATTTTTTTGGCTGAAGATTAAATAAGACTATATTTGACAGAGGCCATGTTAGGACTTACTGGCTTATTGAATATGTTGAAATCCTTCTGTGTTTAATAACCTTTCGTCAAACTGTTTTTTAAAACTTGTATTCTAAGTTCTTTCAAGTCCTAAAAACTAGTTGGAGCTGAGGGCAGAGATTTTGAGCTTATGACTGCTCTTGCCTTGGTAGCAAATCAGTTTTGATCCATATCCACCTTGTTCCCCAAGCCACCAATAAAGATTGCCAAAATGTAAAGTTAAACTCTAAAACGCAACTTTTGAATTAAATAAAGCACTTGAGAAATGAAACCCATCAACCCACATTTTTCCAGAAAGCCGTCCTCCATTTTTACAGGTTATACATCCCAGTATATTCCAATATATCAACAGTAAAACCAACATTAATTTTTTCTCAACAGGGTCATGATTTTTGGTTATAATCCCATTCTATCCCGATAAAATGAGCCATTAGATCTTCATCAAATCCAACCAAATCAGCGCTTTTTCTCCATTTTTTCCATGGTATTTTCCAATAAATCATAATGTGGATAAACCAATAATGAAGCATCCCCCAAATCGACAGAGGTTTTTTTTTACCATTCACAAGTTGGTTTATGACATTGTTTTGATCATATTTCTAAATACCATACCCTATGAAATCTCTCTATCATTATAAATCATCATACCCTCTGGTAATTCAACGTAGCTATTGGACATGGCCATTAATAGTGGATTTTCCCATTAAAAATGGTGATTTTCCATAGCTATGTTAGTTTACCAGAGGGTAAATCCCATACAAATTACCATTTCCAACCGCCATTCTTCACCTCACGTCCTGGCTCCACCAGGGCACCTTAGCCGGTGCCTTGGCTCTACCACCGGCGACTGTGGCCTTGGCGTTTTTGACGGCGCATGGCTTGGTGCGGCTGGCGAAATGGCTCCACCAGGCGTGGGGATCTTGGGGGACTGAACATGAACCAATGATGGTTGGGTCCACATGTTTGGTTCAAGTGAAAAAGCTGGGGCGCAAAAACCATGGGTTTTGTTGAAGCAGCCGAAAATAGGGGCTTCGGCAACAACATATGGATAGTTGAAAAAGGAATCTAACCGACAGAAAAGAGGATATCTTCAGCATGAATGGCTATGAATGAATCTTCAGCCAGCTAAACATGAGACTTTCAAGGACAAAAATGCCAACAAGGGAACAACAATTTCACAGTTTCACAATTTAACAGTTCGGTTCGGTCTTGAATTGATAATGATATGAATAGATAGTCCTTTTTAATTTAAGTGGACGACAGCTTGGACAGAAATGAATCAATTGGATGAATCGGATGTCTCCGCCTTCTTCCTCCCAGCTTTGCCACCATGGGCACAAAGGAATTTCCTACCAGAAGGGTTGAAGCATAGTCGTTAGGAATGATGGTAGTCATAAATTCGAGTCATGAAGGTTTAAGTGTCCATTTTCCAGGGAATCCTTCATAGTTATTGAATGACAATACCCCATATGTTTGTTGTTTTGGCGCCTCAGGAGTGGCAACAGGGTTCGTCTCGTGGTCTTCGGGTGGTAACCTGCGTTGAGTGCCTTGGCGGCATGAATCAGTGTAAACTGTAAGACAATCTATATAAATGGATCACCATACGGATCATACATAATCAGTGTAAACTACAACATACAATATAAATCCATTTGATCAATCACTTTTATTTATGATTGTCATATACTATGCTGTAACTATACATCAATCTGGGTAAATTATAACGACCTCACTGTTCTCCCTCAGTGGAATCATGGTTAATAAGGGAAATCATCCCCAAATGGCCCAACAATTCAGGTTAGTGAAATATTATAATTTACCCAGATCAATAGGTTAAAAATATTACCTATAATGATAATAATGATGATTATATAATGATGATTACCTATAATGATATATTACCTATTATATATCTGATTTTTCTGTCATATGTCTATAAACTATACATCAAGAAACTCCATCATTCTACGGATCAGCTCAACCGCCCTCAGGTCCTTGGACTCCGCGGTGGACTTCATGGAAGCGGATGTGACTCGGGGTTTCGTGTTCCGCCTTGGGCTTGATCTAATGAGTTCCCGAACTCCGGAGTTCCCGAACAGAATGGATGTTTTATGACGTTTTTTGTAATCTCCAGATTGTCTAGGGATTTCGGATGAGTGTTCATTTTTGTAGCAGTGAAGTCGCTTGATGTCCAGTTTCTTTTCATTCATAATCAATGTGACGACTACCCTCTGGTAACTTGACAGGCTGCCATGGAAACCATAACCCATTTAGTTCGTTGATTCACCTGTTAAAAAGAGTGATTTTCCAGTTCGCAAAGCGTTAGTTTACCAGAGGCTATCCAAATAATCCTGATAGATATTCGGCGCTTGCTATTTTTATGTTTTTTTTTTCTTTAATGGATATGGCCTCAGAATCTAAGGCACTCTTTGCGGACACCAATGAATTGTGCTGGCCCGTCTGTCGCGATCTGGAGCGCCGCTGGGACATGCTGGGACAACAGCTCCAGTACTGACATCTTGCACCAGATCAGATGGTTTTTCTCTCTTGCTCCCTACCATTTAACATAACCATGGAAAATCCATTATAAATGGAGGTTTTAATGGGAAAATCATCTATATATAAATGGGCAATTTTCCATGGCTATGTTAAATAACCAGAGGGTGTTTGTGTTCAACTTGCTGTTCTCATATCTTTGTACCATTTTGTACCACTGCCCACCAACCAAGCGTGCATTTGAATCATTTGATCTCCGTTCAACCAGTTTTCGGAAAATTACGGCTTGATGCTGAGTCCTAAGGATGGGGTGTCTTTGTAGTTCCGCCTTTTGGAGAGGAGCGCCCTGCACGAAAGTGGTCTAAAGTTGGTGTCAAGCGAAGTTTTAAGCAGTGGAACTGAACGAAATGTGATGTGCAAATCGTGCTATATCTTATTTCGTTCTTCCGATTTGTGCAGATTTAATATTTGAAATTTAAAACCACAAAGGATGGGTTCAATTGGGCGAGGCATTCTATATGACAACAATCCACATTTTTCACCAGTGCCTGTGCCAAAACTGGTGTGAGAGTCGCAGTAAAAAACGCATCTACTTGTAACACCCAATTTCCAATGGGGAAACTATAGCATGCGTCTGCACATGACACTGGCCCACAGCTAGCCATGAAAGACAATATATACACACTATTGCATACATACACTCTACTATACATATTTTAATTATCATACACACTATGATCTCATTATATTCATATACATATACACTCTAAATCAAGATATATATATATATATATAATATACTGTGTATATATATATAAATATGTATATATATATACATAAATATGTATATATACATAATATACACATCATATCTTTGACCAACATTTCCCAGGCGGAACCCATCCCCGTCATCTCAGTCCCCGTTGTGGTCCCAGGAGATCTCCACCTGGAGCGCTTCGTCGAAGCCGCTGCAGCTGCTGCGCTGCGAAGCCGAAGCCACGGAGGCAGCGCTGCTGCGGGCATTGCCAGAGGTGCCGCAGGGATTTGGAGAAACACATATTAATATACATACAATTATATATATATAATTCAGAGTACATTTATATATATATATATAATTCAGAGTACATTTATATATATATAATATGTTTATAGCTAATGTATGTATGTATGTATGTAATGTAATGTAATGTAATGTAATGTACTGTACTGTAATGTAATGTAATGTAATGTATGGTAATGTAATGTATGTATGGTATGTATGGTATGTATGGTATGTATGGTATGTATGGTATGTATGGTATGTATGGTATGTATGGTATGTATGGTATGTATGGTATGTATGGTATGTATGGTATGTATGGTATGTATGGTATGTATGGTATGTATGGTATGTATGGTATGGCATGTATGTATGGCATGTATGGTATGGGTATGTATGGGTATGTATGGTATGTATGGTATGGTATGTATGTATGGTATGTATGTATGGTATGTATGTATGGTATGTATGTATGGTATGTATGTATGGTATGTATGTATGGTATGTATGTATGGTATGTATGTATGGTATGTATGTATGGGTATGTATGGTATGGTATGTATGTATGGGTATGTATGGGTATGTATGGGTATGTATGGGTATGTATGGGTATGTATGGGTATGTATGGGTATGTATGGGTATGTATGGGTATGTATGGGTATGTATGGGTATGTATGGGTATGTATGGTTATGTATGGGTATGTATGGGTATGTATGGGTATGTATGGGTATGTATGGGTATGTATGGGTATGTATGGGTATGTATGGGTATGTATGGGTATGTATGGTATGTATGGGTATGTATGGTATGTATGGTATGTATGGTATGTATGGTATGTATGGTATGTATGGTATGTATGGTATGTATGGTATGTATGGTATGTATGGTATGTATGGTATGTATGTATGTATGTATGTATGTATGTATGTATGTATGTATGTATGTATGCATGCATGTATGTATGTATGTATATATAACTATATGTACAGTATATAGAGTATATACATATATGTTTATAAATATGTATGTATACTGGCAGTATCATTTACCGGTACAGATAAGAACAGTTACCAAGACTTTATTCAACTTGGGGCCTTTGCACTTGTCTTCACTCGTATTGTGTGAGATATTTTCCTGTGCCCCACGTCACAAAATCCGTGACGGCTGGAAACGGGTTGGACACTTACCTTTGGGTGGATCATCCCAAGAATCGCAACGATTTTGTATTGATTTTTTTGGGTTAGTTGCCCCAGTTCAATGGGTTTTCCCCAGATTTTTGGGCTCATAAGCTGGGTTTCAAATCACCAGTTTTGATCCGTGGGGGTGATCTGCCCCAGGCCGATGTGCAACGATTGGATGAACTCGGCCGAGCGCTGCTGGCGGAGGCTCAAGATGAAGAGGGCGTGGATCTCTTCGCTACTTCGGAGGCATCATATTTGGGAGCAGTCAATCCTTTTTTCACATGTTTGAAAACAATCATTTAAGAAAGGATTACTTAAGTAGATTAACAGAGATCATTTAGATCACAAGTATGACAAGTAGACTTTTTCTTTTGAAGTTTTGGTTGTTTTGCTGTTTCACATGTTCCATATGTTCTATGATTTCTTGCGAAGCCCATTTCTGCAGGCGGGCTTCCACAAAGCTGCTGAAGCTGCGTTGCATCGCCTAGAACAGCACCGGGTGCTTTATCTTCATTCTCTGGATGTGTCTCGGCACACGTATGATACGTATGCGGGGCTTATGATGGGTCCATGGCAATCCAGTTTTTCAGAACGGGGCGGTAAGCGGCTTGCCCGCGAACACCGGTCACCAATATTATAGGGATTATTTGTGGGATGTAATGGGATACATCACCATTTTATAGGTATACCTATAAAATGGCTAGGAAAAAGGATCATCAACCGATCAACCTGTGGATTTTTGGGTCCATTTTCAGAAACACCCATTTTTCAACAGCCAGTCGAGGGTAACCTCATTAAAAATTGGATCGCCCTGCTGATTGGTCTAAAGATCCATCATGTTAGTAAAGCAATAGTAAACACGGCAAAGCATTTTTCAATGGTTCATCCAACCCATTTGTGGTAAAATTGGGGGTGGTGGATCCGAGGATCCTATTGCTTTACTAACATTACTTGAAGTGGTAGGGTCTTTGAGGGAAGACATGGGGAGTTTTCGCTCAGATTCTGAGACGTCGGGCGAAAAAGACCAGATCCCCCCGGTGATTGGTGTATCGCATCAATAACTTCGATTTATTGGCATTTCAAGATATTTCAAGTGTTTTATATATATATATATTTACATAAGATTTCATAACCCATTTCCTTGACATTGATAAACATGTATGGCTGGTTCCCAGGTCGATGTCTTGTCAATTCCGGTGTGTTTGTGCCGTCAATGAGGTTGGCCGTCGCCTTTCTGAGACGGATCGGCAGTTTCTGGCTGATCTCGAAGGGCAGTTGCTGTCCTTGATAAGGCGCGAAGACACAGGGCGGGAATAATGATATGGGATGATTTCTGGGGATATAGTGGGATATTTCATGGGAGATAGAACCAATCATGTGAGCTATGGGTCTTGCCAAAAAAATGTTATACCGTATTACCGCCAAAAATGGCAAGATTGGATTTTGGTGTATACCTACTCTGGACAAAGCCACACGATTCATGTTTGAAAGACATAGGATTTCAATACAACAGGGTCGAGTGGTGGTTTCGATGGGCGCTCTGCTATCATTTACTCAAGTTGATTGTAGGGTGGGTTCCTTGCAGAGGGCTTACACCAGGCTTTTTTGGTGAGAAAAGGGGCCTGAGAATCTATCTAATCCAATTCAATGCGTTGAAGGTCCGAGGATGCTACTCGTCTGGAGCCTCAAGGGTTGCTGGGACCTCTACTGAAATCCACTTGGCATCGCAAAAAAGAAGACCACATATAGTCTGGCAACTAAACATGGCTGGAAAATCTCCCATTTTTCAGATCTTCCCCATGGCAACCCTCCATGGCTGGGGATTATCCATGGCCAGAGGCTATGTTGACCCAGCAGCGCCTCAGGTTGGGGCCTCCTTTCGCACCGAAGTGTCGCCTTGAGGAGTTTGGAGCCGGACTCCCCAGCGGGCTCGGCGACCGACGGGTTGACATCCTGCCGTTGCAGCTGGACCGCAGGTACCACGCCTACACTGATGGCGGCTCTGTCATGGATCCTGAACACCGGGACACGCGGGGAAGATATGGGAAATCAAGGGAAGAGATGTACCATGGATGAGGATGTAGGCGATGATTGGGGACATGAATTCAATCTTCATCGGAAACGGTCGAAACGGTGGGGATGATTGGGATGGGGATGGTAACATCCCTTGGATTGATGAGTTTGATTGGAAATTCTGGCAGTTTTCCAACATCAATTGCAACCTTCAACCAAAAAGTCACCTTTTCACCCCAACTTGCAACAGAAATTATGACTATACGAATCACTCTGAGGAACGGAAGCGGAGAAACATCATTTTTTCCACCCATTTACGCTTCACACTATAGCATTAGCTTCAGTGAACTGGAGATGAAACGAAAACTCTTCATTGAAGCCAGAAAATCAGTGGTTTCTTCTGCAAAGACACTATGATAATGATTCAGTATATGATTCAGTACATGTATGTAAACTCTTGGCTCAGATAGAAAGAAACCTTGGAATTCCTTGGGAACTTTGGCGGTTTTCCACAGAAATTTTGGGAACCGAGCCTCCTGTAGGACGATGGCTCCTTGCTGACCATCTCTGTCCTCCTCTCGAGGCGCGGACCGGCGCAACATACCACATGACTTCATGTTTTTTTTGTTGTTGAGATTTCCTTTTTAACACACACATATATATATACGTATGTTCTTACACATCACAATCATTATATACCCTCTGGCAAACTAACATAACTATGGAAAATCACCATGCTATCAATGGGAAAATCCACTATTTCAATGGCCATTTTCAATAGCTATGTTAAATTACCAGAGGGTATATCAAATCATATGACCCGTTCCTAAGTGCCGAGGTCAGAAGATTTCAGGGGAGGCGCCTTCAGCACCTTCAATGGCAACGAGCGTGTGGAGCACCCGATGCAACGAGGGGATGGTGTCGCTTCCTCAGCGCTACGTTGCCAGAGCAACGGAGCAGTTGGGTTGATTTTGATGGGTATAGAAACATAATGTGTATGTACATGTATATATATATATAATAATAATTAAACATAATAATAGTAATAAGAATAATGACAATAATAATAAATATATATATATATATGTATATTTCAATATTGATGTGCACACATATATATATATGCATACATATATCTATTAATTACTTTGTCAGTCAGTTTTTTTGTTTTCCGGGGGGCAGGCTTGCTATAATGATATTTGATTTCACCCCAAGTGACTGGAATGCACATCCGGTTGCAAGGAATGATGTGGCATGGTCCGGTCATATGGTTACCTCTGCAACCGCGATTTCCAGCATCATCTTTTTATGGGTGTATATATATATATATTCTGATAAGACCAGCAAGAGGGGGAATAGATTTGTATTTGACCAATGTTGATTTAACTACAAACTTGGGGGGATTGTATGGCCAAAGCTATGGATATATCCGCGACTGGTGGTTGATATATCCAGCACCAATGATCCCAAAGGACCCAGATGGTATCCCATGGCTATTTTGAGTGTCCCCTTTCTTTTCGGAAGACCTTGGTACCCAAAAAAACCCAGTAAAACTCATGTGGAATCTCGAAACATCACAATTTAGAATAGAGAACTCATCTCAACAAAGCCGTCGTTTTTTTTGGCACTTCCAGGTTTCTATTTCCACACGAGCATGTTGAGGTCTTCCATTGCGCTGGCTCTTGAGGTCTTGTTCTTGTCGGAGAAACGCCACAACGCCGGAGCCTGATGGATGGTGGGAATTCCCGATCTTTGTAAGTAATTTGAAGTAAATATCACCTTTTTTGGTTCGTTACAGTTTACATACTATATAATACTATATATATAATTATATATGTATATACATACGACATGCAACTATGTGCTGCAGATATCATTCACATTATATATAGTCAGAGTCAAATACATATAAACAGTAAAAAATATGTATAATATATAGATCTGATATACAGATCATATATATATATAAACTATAACCATATATACCATATATTAATCATCCGATGTTGGAGATCCAGGTCAGTGGCGTGGAGGGAGATCGCAGAACCTTGGTGCTGGAGCTCTGGGATGGGCTTCTCGGAGCAGATCCAGTTCTCGGGGACAGGTCTCGCTGGGAAACATATGGGAACTATATGGGAACTACCGGTATATGGGAATATATGGGATAAATATGGGAAAATATGGGAAAATATGGAAAAATCATCCATATTCATGGACATTAAATCATTAAATGGTCATTTTTTAGTGGGAAACTCCGGTATCAATGGAGGGTTGCTGGGAAACACATCGAACTATAGCTGGTGGATCTTCGATGGAAACCTCAAGCCGCATTTTTATGTGTCAAACTGGATAAAAACATTAGGTACATTGGGATTTTCAACGTTGCTGTCAGCAACCGTTGCTGTGTTTTTTATTTTTCAGAGGGTGATAGATAGTGGCATTCTTTCATGGATATCACTATCACCAAGAAGAATGAGGATATGAACAATGATCAGATGCAACAAAGTAAAGCATCTTCTTTTATCCTGAGAGAATCCGCTGTTGAGATCTTGGGTTGCTAGCTGGGAGGGCAGTGTCGATTGCTTAGGCCGCGCAATCAGCACAGCAGACACGACTGAGCCGCAGGTGAAACATAGCCTGGAGACTCCAAACAGCGAAAGCCAAAAAAAGAAGCGGTGCTCGCAGCGTTTGGCTTTGACCCGCAGTGTTCGGCAATGTTGAAAATAGATGTTTGCTAAATCATCCTTGATGTCAATGGATTGGTTTAAGGGAAAAAATACAGGAAACCATAGATTTTCCCATTAAATATGGGGTTTTCCGGTTAAAATTTTCCCTTAAACCAATCCATTGATCATTTCAAACCCTGACAACATCAAGATTTTCAATGATTTCCAGCGATCCTTTCCATCCGAAACTCGCCGAGACTCGCAGGAGTCACGAGGAGGAATCACGGCAGCGTCTGGATAAGGAGATGGAGGACAGTGGGGACCATTGATGCAGCCATTGCAGATGGGATGCTCCGATGCCAAATCCTCAATGAGTGGATGACTTGAGGCATTTTTTGTTGACATTGGCTACACTTTGTTGTTTTTTTGGTTGAGGTAACGTTTCCTTCTGTTCAGTTTGTTTTTTTTCCCCTCCGGTCATCAGTCACGTGGAAAATCCAGCATTTAGTTCGATGATTTTCCCAGCCAGGAGAAGGTGCTCCAAGCGCAAGGGCTCAAACCAGGCATGACCCGGGGGTCCGTGCCTTGACTGAGCGTCAATAATGATGACTAGACCAATTTTTTGAATCACCAGCTGCGATGCAAGTGGATGTCAAGATTGGCTACAATATATACATATACATATATCTATATCTATATCTGAATCTGAATATCTATATCTATAATATATATATATATATCTATGGCTGAGATGTCGTTCCAAAACGATCATTCATAGGATCTCCCGTGATTATCGGCAACTGCCCGGCGATGCAGAACCGGTACCGCGGCCAATGACAGAAGAAACGCTTCGGACGGATGGCCCCGGGAGACCCAGCGCGGAAGAAATACGGTGGACTCACTGGTGGACCCGAAAATGGTTGGTTTTGGAGATGATTTACCATGATTTACCTATAAAAAATGGTGATTTACCTATAAAAATGGTGATTTACCTATAAAAAATGGTGCATGTACATCATAGATATTATTCTTTTTTGTTTGGCTTTCAACAAAAATAGGAAATCTCGGTCTCAGCTCAGCTCGAGGCTGCGACGAGATGAACCGGGTCCTGCGCACCATTGCCACAGAGCCCGTCGGGAAGCGAAGCAGCGAAGCAGATAGCGATGGCCCGGTGGTGGACGATTGCCATTCGTATAGAATGAGGATATACCATGTGGACTGGGATTACGTGCATTGAGTATTGGATATAATCACTATAGTCGATTGATATAAAAAGCAATAGAAAGATTTTACCATTATTGGTGAACTATTGGAGATATTTCACCAAAAATGAGGATCTACCAGTTTATCATGGGGATATACTGGGGATACAGTACGTAGATAATGGGTATATATACAATGCGACGATGTATAATTTTCATATGGGGATAAACCAACGATGGGGTTGTATCATTTTTTATCTGGCATATAATGGGGATATCATATATGATATATACATGTATAAGATTATGATGATCGTGGAAACGACAATATGAAGTTGGTGAGTTTGCCTGGGGATTGAACCAGTATGATCCAGGCCCAGGGGTTGCCGGAAACTCCCTAGCTCCGCGGGATTTCAGGATTGTTGCCAGGATGTAGATCCCAATTCTTGTTGGCTATATCTGAACATATCTGAACACAACTTCTAGCTTTTTTTTTGCTCGTAACATCCACCTGTTTTGATTGCTTGAATCCACAGTTGCTTTCAGTTTCTGGAACTTTTCTATTGCCTTGGATGGGGTAAACCCAGCCACTGTGGCTGGTTTGAAATCCACATTTTTGGGCAACCCCCTGCTGGTTGCCAGGTCGACGTCCCTGCAGTCGGGAGCGACAAGAAGCTCCCTGCAAGCTTTCAGGGAAGCTTGATGGCACTGGCAGTGGAGAACGACGTTTTTTTTTGTTGCAAAAACTGAAGTTTTTAGACGTTTTTATATAATTTGACCACCTAAAATCGGGATCAAAGCAATGGAAAATGGGGATTAAGATTTAGCGATTAAAGCAGCCGAAATGGGGTTTGAGTCGCCACCATAAGTCCTCAACTTCCGTGAGGCTCTACAAACGAGTACTCAAACAACCACCGAATCCTCAAAATCTGAGGCTAATATAGGGATGACAAGCTACGATACGCCTATTTTTCAATGTGGTGGCACCCCAAGAATTCCATAGAATTCCCCCAAAATGGTTGAAAACTCAACCAGTAACCAGGCCATCGAATTCGATGTATCAAAAACTTCCCAGACTTCCCTGAGATTTGCAGCTGAATTTAACCGAGGTGAGGAGGCTCCTTCCAAGCCAAGCAGCCCGGTGAGGCGAGTGATTAACTTTTTCCCATCCTTTTGGTGGTGCAGGATTTCGCAACCATCCAGACTACCTTCATATGTTTTACTTTTTTGTTGATTATGACATTTTATGAATATCCATGAATCATGATGATAGTTGACGATGATATCATCATTGAGGATAGTGTGATACCATTCAGATCATTCAGTTCTTCCGGTAGTCAGCTGCATTGTGTCATATTGTGTCAATTGGGAAAATTTGGATGAAATTCATAAATTCATCTTGTGTCAATGTGTGAATTCTTGACTTTGAGATAGTTTGAGAGTATATTTTCAAGACTTGATGAGCCCATGATCCCTCCATCCTGGCTGGTTGACTCATCCTTAACGCGTCGCGATCCTCGCGTTACGCGTGGCGTTAAGGATGAGTCAAAGTGAAACCCGATATCAGTGGCGGAGCTCAGTGGACACCTCCCTGAGGCCCGGCGGATCTTCCAGCAAGCCATGTTAATGATGGTTAATGATGGTTAATCATTGTCAGATACTGGTACTATCTGATTACTATCTGATTCCTATCTGGCACTTCCTAACGGTCCTAACGTGACAAAGCCAGTCTTTCGGACTCTGTGGCAATTTTGAACATCGGCGCCATCCTTGAGCGCAACGGATCCGCTCAAGTCATTGGTAGCAGAGCTGCAGGCGATTGATGCTGAACATGGAGATGGATAGCGATGAGAGTCTCAGGGACTGCGGATACGTGGTTTCCAAACGCGTTGGTCGCGTTTGGAAGGGCGGGCACCTACTCCTTGCATCTCCTTGCCACTTCTAAATGGTATGGGGTCCATCCTCACAGCGATTCCATCCGCGAAGTCAAAATTTGAGATGCATCGATTGCTGTCATTTTTGGAATCACCATCCCATTTCTGGGTGTTTTTGTGTACACCACCATCCCCTGCCGACAGTCCCACATGGAACAAGCCCATTTTCGGAATTCGATGGGCCTATCATCTTCAATCAATGGAAATGGGGGCCGACAGCCCCATTCCTATCCACTGATTGTAGCCTTATTTCAATTTCTGCTGAAGATTCTGCTGATAAACCCTCGAATTTGATGATCCTTTGCAAATCCAGGACTTTGCCCACCAGGCTTGCGTGGGATGTGATTCTTGCGTTAAAAAGGTTTGATCTTTGGGATCCTTTTGGCATTCCTTGGAAGCTGACTCCACGGTGGATTTCCATGGCGCCACTTGCAGGCGCGATGCAATCATCTGGATCAGATCTTTGATTGGTACAAGACGCACGGTGGAAAGGAAGTGCGCAAGGCAGCGCGGCAGCGCCCCCCGGGTTTATGACGCTGATTGGTTGGAAAGAACGGGGCAGCCCCCATTCTATGGTCCCAACATGTCCCCAACATGTGACTGGGAGTCCCAGAGATTTTCTGCCATGGTGCCATGAGAGGAAATTCAGAGAGCCAACGCTCCAGCATTTGCGTGGCTCTCAGCAGCACTTGGCGAGTTTCTGAAAACTTCAGGCGCTCGGAAAATGGGTTCCTCTGAAGAGGGATCTCCCTCAACTACCAGAATTTTCGAAGAATCGAACAGCGGTGGCAAAAAACCTCGGAATGATGCTTATTCAGTAACTTATTCATGCTTATTCACATTTCAAAAAGGGCTACCCAGGTACCCTTGAATCCTGGTCTATTCTATTAGGGGCTTCACCCCATCTGGAGCCGATGCTTCGAGGACAACCAGCAGAATCATTGGGCCACGCTGACAGCGTTTTGAAAAGCCAGGTTTTTGGGGATCAATATGGATCCATTATACGGGTTTAGCCATGTTTAGCCGGATTTGGCTATCAACTCTATGGATCCCAAAATGGGGAGTAGTTGATCCAATGATGGTTGGTTCTGATTAGGGGATCAACAACTTAGTAACTACACCACAATCCAACTGCGAATCTGCAGAATCCTATGAACAACCGACCACACGTATATATATATATATATTATATAATTTAGGGCATTTTCCAAGAAACGTTCCCCTGTTCTGCGAAACTTCACTGCTGAGGTCCGTTATAGCCAAGATGGACCTGTGATGCCCGGTTCTCTGCGAGTTCCAAAGACGCCCAAGATGGAAAAGAAGGCGATGCCGCGATGCCGAAACGCGTCCATGGGTTTCCACTCAAAGGGACCCCGAAAAACACAGAACCTCTATGAACCTGTCAAAAATGGGCTGGTGACATGTGAAGATGAAGGAAACGCAGATAGTAGACTGAGTATGACTGAGTCGTTTCTTGAATTAAAACCCTCGGTTTTTGGGGCTTCCTCGAAATTTTGACCAATACCCACACTTACCAGAATATTTAACCTCATAAGTGTTGGCTATATGCCATATGCTCATTTTCTCGTTCCAAACTCTACTCACTGATATCCATGTTAGGCAATGTCCCTCATTCTTGCTGGCCAAGAACGGACCGCCGGTATCCACCACAACGGTTGGTCATGTTTCTAGCCCCCTTTTGTCCAGGTTCGGTCGGCCGAAAATCAGGAAGAGTGGGAAGTTTCAGAATATACCCGGCCTGGTAAATGTTTACATAACTATGGAAAATCACCATGCTATTAATGGGAAACTCACTATTTCTATGGCCATGTTCAATAGCTATGTTAAATTACCAGAGGGTAGTTTTGACTTAGGTTTGAGTGACAACCTTTACCAGAGGTTTTGGAATGACTGAATGCCATCGGCATGGTGTCAAATGATGTTGAATGCGATAGTTACGGTGTGAAATTCCTAACAAAGCGCCAGTTCGTTGTGTCGTTCTCTTCCTCCACCTGCTCCAAAAAAAGGAGCTACTGCAATGACTCAGTGCCAAATTGGTGTGTCCCCAGCCATTCCGAATCATTCCGATTTGCGCTTGTCCTTAAATTTCCTGGATTGGGTTGACCCATCCAGCAGTCTCGTTGATTTGGATTGGGTTGATCCAAATTTCCTGGTTGATTGTCCTTAAATTTTCTGGATTGTACTGGATCACATCCAGAATCCAGATGAATCCAGCAGTCTGGTTGTTGACCCATCTGATTTCGGATGCCTCCAGTTCAGGACACGACATGAGTTTCATAAAGATCTCACAAAGACAGGGATGCGGTATACCCAGCAAACTAAGATTTTTATATGGAAAATCCGCGTGATTTTTTCAGATATCGTTTCTCAGAGAACAGATGAACTTCCAGGATTTTTCCCATATCTTAGCCGCAGAATCCAGGTCCAGGTCGGTTTCCAAGGATTTTTCATGGCTTTTGCAATGCTTTTCCAAGGGATTTGTTTCCCCATGTTTTTGGCAAAGTCCCCCGTTGTCGCGTTGTCGTTTTGAAAAACGTAGGCTGCTCCAGCCTCTCCCAGTGGGAAGAAAGACATGCAGCTGCCCTCCTTGGGTCGTGTCGTCTCGTCTCCTGCTTTGGTTGTCGGGATGCGCAGAGCGATTCTGCGGCCATGGCTGATGTGGTGTTGGGAGGTACCCAATTGACAATGAGGATTCATGGTTAGTAATAACATACGTAATAACGTTTAATATCACGGCAAATGATGATTAATAGTGGAATGATTGGCAAGAATGATAATAATGGTAATGATAATACTTAATGATGATATTGAGAATATTGATAATAATGACAACAATGATAATCATCATGATGATAACGATAATAATGATAATCGTGATGACTCGTAGTAACGAAGAAAGCTTTGATTGCCATGACACTAATATTACTACTGATACTAATAATCACAATCCCCTTAGCAATGATAATGTTGATAATATTGACAATAGTGATCAATGATAATTCAATGACACTATTAGCGATAACGATACTGATTAGTCACGATCAAACACATGACAATAAGATCATAAGGATGATAATCAGAATGATAAGAACAACTAACAATCATGGTTTGATGGTAATGATGACAATGATGAATGTGTACAGTACCCACTCATGTACATTCAATGCCTGGTAGATCCACCAGCTTTTTGTTGCGGTTCCGCCATGCCGCAGGCTGCCGGGTCACTGAATGTGGAAAGCCCAGCTGGCTCACCCTTGCATACGCCCAAGGTGGGGAGCTGTGGATGGGAATGGGTTCTGGGGGCACCCAGATCTCAGCATATCTCAGCCGCAGGCGAGCAAGTGAGTGGGAGCCTCAACGGCGATGTCAGAAGTTTATCCTCTGGTGAGATAGCTATGGAAACTGAATGAACATTACAGCTTTGAATTGGTAAATTGTCGATTTTGCTAGGCCATGGCTTCCATAGCAAACTGTGAAATTACGGCAGAGTAGACCACTGGCAACCAGGATATGGTCACTGGAAGTCTCCATGGTCGTTTTTTTTAAAAGCTCCCAAGGTGTGCTGGACTCTAAGAGGCTCGGTTCCCTGGTCTTCTTTTCACCTTTGGGTGTAGGTTGATGATAGTTGATGATCAACCATAAATGACCATCAACCTGAGATTTGGGTTCCGGAGATGATTATGGACATTTATGGACCCAATTTCCCAATGAATTTTAGAACATTTTGAACACCTCTTGACAGCAGTACAGGCATCCCAGATGTCGAAGCGCAGGTTGGTTACTGAGCTAAATACTGAGCTTTAGCTCAGCTCCTGAGCAGAGGGGAAAAAGAGCCAAGTGGCCCCTTAGCCGAGCCTTAGCCTTTTTGAGTCAAAATCCCATGCCACGGCAGGGTTTGTAGACCCAAAGGTCTCAGCGAATCCTGCGCAACTGGCCACTGCACGATTCCGCGGATGGTTTCTGGTGATGATATCATCGCATCTGAAGCGGTTTGTATCTGATCCTGAAATATACCACCTGATGGTTTTAACATGTTTTTTTAAACATGTTTTAACAGATTTGGACACGTGTAAAAAAAACGTGTTTTAACATGGTTTAACAATAGACACACCATGTTCAAGTCCCAAGTGAAAGGGCGCGACATCAACACGGCGGAATTTTGCAGATCTTTCTCTTCCAAGAAGAGACGATATTCTTTCCATGTCAGCATTTTGCAGAGCTCGGTTGACCAGTTTTGGGAGCTGGACAGGAACACCATGGAATACAGCTTCGCAATGCTCTGCGGGTGACTTACAGGTGCTACATGCCAAGTATACCGTTATATATACGTATATATATGTATATATACGTATATATGTAATATATATATATATGCCCAATCACAACCGGTCAGCTCCGGTCCATACCACCAGTGGTATTCCCTTGAGTAGAACTGGCAGACAGTTGGGCTCTCCAAGAAGGAAAGGATGAATGGTCAGTCAATGTATGAAATACTTGTCCATTTTGAACATTTCAAGCAAGTTTCTTCCATGAACGTAAAGACTTTTTGAAGAGCGTAGTCTTAGTATGTGTTATAATATACATTCGGATGATATATCTGGTATCTAAGGCTATCAGTTGGTCAGTCTTTTTCGACAACTTTCGCATCAAAAAAGGTGGGCGAAAATCGGCGTCAGCGTTTTCATTTGGATCCAAGGCTGGGCTTTTTCTGTGATCCAGCCAGCTGGCAGCCAGCTCTGAAGCTGTTTCCAAAGGGGCCAGCTGGTCCTGTGGCCACGTGTGATGGTCACAGTGGTCCTGCGAGGTCCTGCGCCATGTGCTCCCGCCGGGTGACGCGTAGCAAGGGCCTTTGCCCTTCGTTTTGGAATCTTTTGGATCCATGGAAAACGTGAAAACATGTGCTCCCGCGGTGGATAGCGCAGACGATTTCCATCGATTTCTCAACGGTGATAGCTTCGCACTCATCGGATCACTCTCACTATGCGACACTTGCCACGTCTTCTTTTCCAAGTCGTTTTGGACAGGGTGAAACCACCAACCTGGGAGGACGACCCAGCATGACATAGCTCAGTTTTAGCCGTACTGCGGGCCGTACCAACATCATGTGGAATACATTGTAACACTTTAAGGCACAGTAATGGTATGTCATATCTCCGAATCTACGGTTACAGTACTTGCATGTACTTGCTATATCTTGCTATACCTGGATGATATCTATCGCCACCTTCTTGGCCATCACAAAATGATGGTTGTTAGCATCTCAAACCAAGCCAATCTTTACAGTGAATTCTCTGGAATTGCTAGGTTGCAACCAAGTAATGAAGTAGAAACTTCGAAACCTGGAGATGTGATGAGATGGAAATCATCTACGATGGAAAGCTGATTGGAGGATATTGGAGGAATCAGACGAAACATGGCCTCATTCTTCCCACCAGCAATCGTTCGATTGGGGGATCTCCCAGCCATATAGCTGACTATGATTGTTGTGAAGTGGTTAAACCAACCCTATTATCCTATTTTCTTCCCATTACGTACCAGATTTCTTGGTGTCATATATATATATATGATTATGTATGTACATATACACACCCCCTATATATATATATATTGATATGTATGTACATATACACATACTACACACCCCGTGATATATATATATATATATGTACCAGTTCAATTCCCAATATTTTGGGTTCCAATCTTTGGTGACCAGCTAACCTCGACATTTTTTGGCTCGAGAAGCTCGGCCCAAATGGGCGCGTGGCTTTTCGACGTCCGCTGGGCCCAGTCCGCTGCGAGCCGCAACGGCCGGTCAAGTGACTAGGAACTATGGTTATAGTAAAGAATCTATATCTGTATAGGAACAAAATATCTATATCTATATAGTAACTAAATATCTATCTATATGTATATATATACACACATATTTAGGAACTAAATATCTATATATTAAGAATATTGATACAAAATATCTATAGTAACTATAGTAAATACTATTCAGCAATTACCTATAGTTGAACAGCTCTGAACATCCATCGAACTACATAGGGGATTTTCCAGCTGAAGTCATCCATTGGAGTCACGGACATGAGGCAATAAAAAGGCTGATGAAACATGAAAATTGGGTTTCATGGTTCTGAAACTCAAAAAATCCACCAAAGAAAATCCTATGGTTTATCATCAACCCCATGAACATGGCATAACCCTGTTGATTTTTTTGGTACCTCCATGATTTCCCCCATCTTCCCCATGGCCATTTTGCCGGTCCAATGGTCCCCTGGTCGTTCCCAGGTCATCGATGACGCTCAATAAATCCGCGTCCCTCCCGGCGATCCTCGCCCTGGGCACCACTGCGCCCAAATTGGCAGGTGCTGTTGGGAGACTTCGATCACGAAACACACGAAAATTTTAACACCGTTTCTGTTAATGGTTTTTTTTTTCTGTTAATTGGAGGCAGAATAACAATAGACACACCATGTTCAAGTCCCAAGTGAAAGGGCGCGACATCAACACGGCGGAATTTTGCAGATCTTTCTCTTCCAAGAAGAGACGATATTCTTTCCATGTCAGCATTTTGCAGAGCTCGGTTGACCAGTTTTGGGAGCTGGACAGGAACACCATGGAATACAGCTTCGCAATGCTCTGCGGGTGACTTACAGGTGCTACATGCCAAGTATACCGTTATATATACGTATATATATGTATATATACGTATATATGTATGTAATATATAAATATATATATAAATATATATATATATATATGCCCAATCACAACAGGTCAGCTCCGGTCCATACCACCAGTGGTATTCCCTTGAGTAGAACTGGCAGACAGTTGGGCTCTCCAAGAAGGAAAGGATGAATGGTCAGTCAATGTATGAAATACTTGTCCATTTTGAACATTTCAAGCAAGTTTCTTCCATGAACGTAAAGACTTTTTGAAGAGCGTAGTCTTAGTATGTGTTATAATATACATTCGGATGATATATCTGGTATCTAAGGCTATCAGTTGGTCAGTCTTTTTCGACAACTTTCGCATCAAAAAAGGTGGGCGAAAATCGGCGTCAGCGTTTTCATTTGGATCCAAGGCTGGGCTTTTTCTGTGATCCAGCCAGCTGGCAGCCAGCTCTGAAGCTGTTTCCAAAGGGGCCAGCTGGTCCTGTGGCCACGTGTGATGGTCACAGTGGTCCTGCGAGGTCCTGCGCCATGTGCTCCCGCCGGGTGACGCGTAGCAAGGGCCTTTGCCCTTCGTTTTGGAATCTTTTGGATCCATGGAAAACGTGAAAACATGTGCTCCCGCGGTGGATAGCGCAGACGATTTCCATCGATTTCTCAACGGTGATAGCTTCGCACTCATCGGATCACTCTCACTATGCGACACTTGCCACGTCTTCTTTTCCAAGTCGTTTTGGACAGGGTGAAACCACCAACCTGGGAGGACGACCCAGCATGACATAGCTCAGTTTTAGCCGTACTGCGGGCCGTACCAACATCATGTGGAATACATTGTAACACTTTAAGGCACAGTAATGGTATGTCATATCTCCGAATCTACGGTTACAGTACTTGCATGTACTTGCTATATCTTGCTATACCTGGATGATATCTATCGCCACCTTCTTGGCCATCACAAAATGATGGTTGTTAGCATCTCAAACCAAGCCAATCTTTACAGTGAATTCTCTGGAATTGCTAGGTTGCAACCAAGTAATGAAGTAGAAACTTCGAAACCTGGAGATGTGATGAGATGGAAATCATCTACGATGGAAAGCTGATTGGAGGATATTGGAGGAATCAGACGAAACATGGCCTCATTCTTCCCACCAGCAATCGTTCGATTGGGGGATCTCCCAGCCATATAGCTGACTATGATTGTTGTGAAGTGGTTAAACCAACCCTATTATCCTATTTTCTTCCCATTACGTACCAGATTTCTTGGTGTCATATATATATATATGATTATGTATGTACATATACACACCCCCTATATATATATATATTGATATGTATGTACATATACACATACTACACACCCCGTGATATATATATATATATATGTACCAGTTCAATTCCCAATATTTTGGGTTCCAATCTTTGGTGACCAGCTAACCTCGACATTTTTTGGCTCGAGAAGCTCGGCCCAAATGGGCGCGTGGCTTTTCGACGTCCGCTGGGCCCAGTCCGCTGCGAGCCGCAACGGCCGGTCAAGTGACTAGGAACTATGGTTATAGTAAAGAATCTATATCTGTATAGGAACAAAATATCTATATCTATATAGTAACTAAATATCTATCTATATGTATATATATACACACATATTTAGGAACTAAATATCTATATATTAAGAATATTGATACAAAATATCTATAGTAACTATAGTAAATACTATTCAGCAATTACCTATAGTTGAACAGCTCTGAACATCCATCGAACTACATAGGGGATTTTCCAGCTGAAGTCATCCATTGGAGTCACGGACATGAGGCAATAAAAAGGCTGATGAAACATGAAAATTGGGTTTCATGGTTCTGAAACTCAAAAAATCCACCAAAGAAAATCCTATGGTTTATCATCAACCCCATGAACATGGCATAACCCTGTTGATTTTTTTGGTACCTCCATGATTTCCCCCATCTTCCCCATGGCCATTTTGCCGGTCCAATGGTCCCCTGGTCGTTCCCAGGTCATCGATGACGCTCAATAAATCCGCGTCCCTCCCGGCGATCCTCGCCCTGGGCACCACTGCGCCCAAATTGGCAGGTGCTGTTGGGAGACTTCGATCACGAAACACACGAAAATTTTAACACCGTTTCTGTTAATGGTTTTTTTTTCTGTTAATTGGAGGCAGAATTTTCTGAGTTTTTTTTGAGAATTGATGAGCACGGCCAATTGATCAACTGACTTGCGATGACATTGGAATTCGCATGCGAATGTTTGGCACCAATATTCATCAACTTACTGAATCTCCTACTGGTAGGGAGAATGAGGCTTTAAATCAGCGAAATGTCGGGTTGTTTCCCCCAAAATTTAAGGTACCAAACCCACATCTCCACACATTGCCACTAGGATTATGCATCCGAGTGGGTACTAACCACATTACCCAGTTAAACATGGAACATTCCGACTAAAACAATGGGCTGATGGCTGATCGCTTACAAGGTGAGGCCTCCCAGTTATCAGTCTATAAAGCCATTAACATCCATTAACAGCCATTAAAAGCCATTAACAGCCATTAACTACAGTTATAAACTGTTATAAACCCGTTAACTATAGTTATATTCATGTTATATCCTCCATACAAAGGTTCACCAAGATTGTGGCATCAACTCCGCAGGACATGAGAAACAGCAGTCGCTTCGCTATGCGACAGCCTGCCTGCCATGTTTATGACATGGGAAGTGAACATGTTCTCTGTGAATCCAGAGAAAATGGGGGGAGAAAACCAAGAAAAACCATTGAACTCTCATGGGACAATAATACAATGGGATACTGTGACATATGAAAGTTATAACTAAGAATATGCCAAGAATATGCATTGGGTCTGTCAAACAATGTTGGGAAAAACCCCTGAGGTTGAGAAAGTCGCCTCCATCAATTGGGGTATACCACATCTGGAAAAAGCCACTTTGAAGGGGGAAAGATCGGGTGCCTCCCAGCATGTCTTCCAAAGGCTACAGCAACAAAGTCCGACAGAAACGTATCGCACAGCTGGTTGAATGGGTAAATATGTATCATATTTCAGCATCCTGGAGACATAACTTAGACATTTTCGAATTTTCGAAGCATTGCTTCCTCCTTGAATTAGTGGATATATCCAACTCATGGGAGTGCTGCGGTTATCCATTAAAAGACACCAGTCCTGCACCAAAGTCAGTGAGGCCAACGACAAGAAATCGGCCTTTGCCACTTTCAAACCAGCAGATGTAAGTTGGGACCTTGGGCAAAATCCCGGGTCTTCCATGGTTCTTCTCCGATTTTTCATCACCGCGGTTGAATATTCAATGGTTACCCTCTGGTAAACTAACATAGCTATTGAAAATGGCCATAGAAATCGTGGATTTTCCCATTAAAAATGGTGATTTTCCATAGCAAACTGTTAAATTACCAGAGGGTACCCTGTCCGGAAACAGAAAGGATGGTGCGTTGATAGCCCGTAGCTGCCTGGGTCTCCCTATGAGGTCAGCAAGTCTTGGAATACGTTGGGATCCCAGTGGATCCCCTCGGGGAATGGATATGTGAACCACTACTTTGCCAGAGGGTAGGTGATCCCATACTTTTGGCATAATAATAAACATTAATCCATATTAACCATGTGTTCCCCATAGTTATACCCATACAAACAACGAAGTGGTTGATGGTATATTATATATACACACATTTATATAGTTTGAAATGATTCCCATTGACCATTCAAGTCACGACAGATAGTGGAATCGAATGGGAATAACTTTGGGAATCGAAGAATGTTCAGGTCATGGAGCTGCAACGCCCTGGCTGGCGCCAACGGGCCACGCCAGAGCCGGAAGAGTTGCCCGTGACTGTGGAGGAGTGATGAAAAAAGGGACCAAGTTGCCGGGAGAGGAGGGTTTTTTCCTGGGAAAATTGGGAAAACACTGGGAAACACATGGTTAAACCACAGTTGATCCATATTTGATACATCAGCCAGGCAGTGCGAATGAGCCACAACTCAAATCGAATCCAAGAAATCCCCCCAAAAAACCAGTGGTGATACCTGCCCAGGCGTGGTTTCATCTCAATATTCATATGAGCCACAGTCAACAGATGGATTGTAGATGGTCATCAATTCATTAGTAGGGCCGTAGGGATTGATTATGATTTATTTACCCAATGTAAGGATTCCTTGTCTGGGATGGATGACCATACCCCATATATATCCATATATACCATGTGCCATCATGTGCCTGAAAATGGAATATACTCCCCCAATGGCCGAGCTAAACATGTGGAACTTCCGCACCGGATCCCAAGGGTCTCTCCGCTCCAGGACTTGGTTCCAAAGAACCAGCGGTGGGACCCTAAGGGCACCAAGTCCCCAGAACTGTTTTCACTGGGAAACTCATCTTCCAAAGAATGGAGCAATGAACCATACCCTTGTTGATTGGTTACTGTAAGGAGTGACACTACCTGGTTATTGGGGATTCTGAAGTAACCCATATGGGAAACCTATCAACCAGGTTTGATGAGGCAGGTGCTCACAAACCATGATCCAGGGAAGCCAAGGTATCCACGCGTCACTCCAGCATGGCTGAAGCATGAGAAGCAGGCGAGGATTTTGGATGTGCTCTGAAGAGCACTACTTGAAGCACCAAGAAAGCAAAATGGGTGTGTCCAAAAATGGGGTATACCGTGATAGACTCCAAAATTACCATCTTAGAAAGGAGCCATTAAGCACTGGATTTGGGAATAATGATATCATGATATAATCTGATATAATCTATTTTCAGACACACTCAAATACCAAAGGTCCAAAATCTTGGACATGTGTTTTGCATAGGCTTCTTGAAACCACATGTTCCCTGTGCGATTTTCTCCGGGTGCCAAGGCATTGAAACTACGCAGAATATCCACAACTATCCCACAAGAACTGAATTTGTTTCGGATGCTTTTTAAGGTCCCAAAATTTGATATGGATCTGTCAAAAAATAAGGTTTCGATGCTTTCATGGTCTTCCCAAGTTAGCATGGCCACAAATTGGGGCTTAAATCCCCCAGTTTAAGACAATCTCACATCATTTCTTGTTCATTATATTGTCTCCGTTCCCCATTCTATCCTGAAATCCTTATCACTCATTATATCTCTATCATATCCCATATACTGAAATGGTTTCTTTCCCCCCATCCATTTGGGGCTCCATTTTCAGCACCCCGTCATCCCCCGCTTCGCAGGTTCTCCGCTTCTACGCCTTCTTCCAGGAGACGGTCACGGAACGGGCGGACGAAAACAGCCGCAAGCGGCATATCATCATCATGTGCCACCGAAACCGCGAAAGGAGGAGTTACCCTCTGGTAATTTAACAGTTTGCTATGGAAAATCACTGTTTTTAATAGGAAAATCCACTATAAATGGCCATTTTCAATAGCTATGTTAGTTTACCAGAGGGTATTGGGGGGATGATGGTTTTCTATACCACCCAAAACTGGAGTTTTTGATGAATGACTTCCAACATCTTCTGACTATTGATGATGTGCAGCCCGGCCGTCTCCAGGTACTACCTGGAGGATGGAACCGTCAGCATGTCCGAGCCACGGATCGAAAACTCCGGCATTGTACAAGGCCAGAGACTCAAACATCCTCAGACCTAACTGGGTGGGCAACTGCCGAGAAAATGTATCCAAAGGGTCCTGAGGGTCCTAAGATCTGGTTAGAAAACAAACAGCACTTTCAGGCTCACCTTAGTCAGAATTCCCGCTTGTTTTTCTTTTGCACTTGCTGTTGTGGACCTTGGCTCGAGATTTTTTTGGGAGATGCTTCAAGTGACGGAGAATCTGTCAGTTCCACAGTTTTTGTAGGAAGTCCCCCAGTATGTCGTTGGTCATATCCACCTGGACTCATCTGTAATGACTTTCCGGCTGAAACTGGTAAGCCAACATCCAGCTGCTGGCCAGGTTCCTTCTTGAAAAGACAGCGGGTCTCCCGAAATGATGGAACAGGCGCTGAAGCTGAACGGATCAAGATTGTCCATGATTGTCCATGGTCCATGGTGAATCCGCTAGTAGAAAGTCTAGAAAGTAGCAGATTTCCCCCAAACAATCTCAAGATTTCGTGTCTAACACCGGTTAAAAACCCTGTTTTTCTCAACATGACACCATTCTTTTTCCAGGTTTCATCGGCCCGGAAGATCTCCGCTGTGGCATCCAGATCACTCTCTTCGGTAGGCACAGTGCGTCGGTGATTGTGGTGATTTTCCCATCTCCCGATGGGTCCACAAAAACGGGACTCGACAGTTCCCCTCTGGTAAACTAACAGTTTGCTATTGAAAATTGCCCTAGAAATAGTGGATTTTCCCATTAATAGCATGGTGATTTTCCATAGTTATGTAAACATTTACCAGAGGGTATCCATATTCCCCATGCAAGAACTGCAATTTCTCCAGCTGAGTTGAAGAACTCAGCTGGAGTAATCTTCTCCGGCAGGACCTATCACATCACTGGCTGCGATAGCTTCACTCGTTGGTACTATCGGGAGATCGGTGTCGAGATCGGAGAGAATGAGGAAGTCCCTTCCTCGGATCAGTCGATTTCACATGATTTCACCATTGGGTCGATGAAAATGGAGCTAAAAATATGGAGCTTTTTTTGGAGGTCGCTGCAAGGATCATCCTGAAGCATTTTCACAGAATCAGGTCCAAGAAGATGCGTGGCAGAAGTCCTACAAACTGAGGACGCTTTGCCAAAGTTGGAGTGGATGGAAGCATTTTGGTGAATCTACAGGTTTTCACGAATAAGATGCAATAAATATGGACATTTGGAAGTTTTGGAAACTGAACCCGAAAAAAATAAGGCTAAAGGCCTGGTGATTTCCCATAAATTATGGTCACTTTGAAGCAACTGAACGCAGTGAATGACAATGACTTCATCGTAGCAGAAACCAGAGAGATGATCAAAGTTTGCAGTTGGCAGCGCTTTTGTATCTACCATAATTTAATGACATATTGTCTGGTTGCTGGTTTCAAACATGAATTTTATATTTTCCATAATTAATTCATATGGGATAATCTTTTCCTTTCCATTGACGAAGTCCATCATTTTTCAGAGGGCTAGGTGTATACCACCAACCAGTTATATATATATAATGTCAACCCCGGATTAATAAACCCTTAGGCTGGTTAATTGGGGTGGTACCATTTAAGTACTGGATTATGACTATTGGAGGAGTACCCCCCCTAATTAATAAACCATGGTTTATTAATCCGGGGTTGACATTATACATAAACATATTTCTTTCCATGTTTCTGGTGGTGTCACATTAGTCACATTGAGTTTTGCCTCCAACGCATGGGATGATGGCACTTGTGGCACTTGACCATCCCCCCCAGGGTTTTTGTCTGGGAGGAAACTCATCGACCGCGGCGCCTTACCGCCCTCGCGCTTTTCGGTGGAGCAAAAGACCATCGGACAGTTTCTTGGGCTTTGGATCCATGGAAATTTATGGAATCCCTGAATCCCTGAATTGGATGGGAAGATTTACCCTCTGGTAAACTAACAGTTTGCTATTGAAAATGGCCATTTATAGTGGATTTTCCCATTAAAAATGGTGATTTTCCATAGCTATGTTAAATTACCAGAGGGTACAGGCTTTACCCATGGTTTACCGGTTTACTCATGGTTTTAGCATTGGAAAGCCCCATATTTGGGGTTAAGAACCTATGATGTTTGCGGGACTTCCCCCTTCAATCCATTGATCGGACTGGTGATTTAAGCCAACCATTGGGAGAGCCATGGGGAGTTTGGGATACGGTTGGACAGTTTCGAAACCATTAGGATGGGAACAAAAAACGGAGATTTTCTGCGTGATGTATTTCAGAGTATTTTTTCACTCTGTTTCAAAATGTGGTTGTAATCATTGTAATCCCATAAATTCAAGTAAATTCCCATCACATCTGAGTTTTTCCCAATCAAACAATGAACGTTCCATTGTAGGCAACGACTGCGGCAACGATGGCTGCGAAAAACGCTCAGGTTCCAGATGGGAGCTCCTCCCGTGTCCAAGAAACTCACACAATTCCTGCTCAACGTCTGGGGCCCGAATGGTCGAAGAACGGCCCAGTGGAATGATTGGGAAGTGTTGGGTAACTCAGCGAAGTCTCCCATCGCCCCACGAATTTCAGAGTGGAGTTACTACAAGACATCCAGATATACAGTATCCAGATGTATCCAGATTCTAATCCAGATTTTCATGAACTAGATGTTCATGGAGTATTCGACCCTCCACAAAAATGGACCGGTTGAATTGGCTGGGAATTTCTAAAGGGTCGTTTGTTTCCATCGCAAGAGACAGGATGCGGTTGGCAAATCATTTTGTTTTGATGGCTTTTGCAGGCCCTTTTTTCGATTCTGGGGGTTCATTTTTGAGGGGATTGAAATCTATAGATAAGAGCAAAAACTGATCATGAGATGATCATTAATTATAATTACATAGATATCACCAGACAATCATTAAACATCGTTAAACAATCAGTAAATAATCATTAGATACTCATTAGATACTCACTAGATATTCATTCGATCATCATTCAAAAATCATAAATGTGGTAAACCCAGTTTCAGAAACCATCCCTAAGTCATCACCAAATTTTTATGGCTTTTATATAGCCCTGAGAGTTCGCCATCCCCACCATCTGCCAAGGATCGGAGGGTCTTGCGCTTCAAGGGATACTGGGATGACCATACGAAGTATGGAGCCCGGCTCTACTTCAACATCCACTACTACCTGGCCGATAACACCATGGAATTCAACGAGGTGGAGTTCCGGGCCTTTCTTTGGTTTATCATTGAAGGTTATGATTCGTCAAATTGAAGATGATAGATTCAATGATATGTATGATATGTATATATAATATAGTAGAACACAGTCGTTATAAGTTCCGTGCAATGAAATATTGTACAGCAATTTAATGTGATATTTTATGTGGACAAAAATAGAAAAAAATGAAAAGTATGTAAGCTCCAAACCACACATTAGGGTAGCAATCCATGGCTGCCATGGTCCATTAGCCCCGTGACCTCTGGACCAGGCCCACTGCCGGAACTCTGGTCGCTACCCAGCACCTGTCACTTGGCGTGGAAGCAAACCGGGGATAGCCCAGTGAAGAATGGGGGTTTTACCAACGTTTTGTAGGGGACAAAACAGGCATATAACATGGGATATATGGGATGTAACATTGGAAGTAGCCAATCCATTTGCTTTAAGTTTTTTTTAAAACACCACGGAAACCATGGTTTGCTTGGGGATGAAAGCACATACTTGGGACCATAGAATTGCGGTTGTTAAAGAAAAAGCACTCGGGTCAGCAGAGTAGCACAGGACAAGATGCCACAAGCAGCGGAGATGGGGCAAATGTGACACAGATGTATAGAAACATTAGCGTTTTTCAGGTTGTCATATGCAGGGGTTCTGCTCAATATTCCAACCATATCCATAGATATGACCAAACATATGACAGGTCATCAGGTTCGAAGTCTTCATTCTATGGCTACCTAGACGTACACATGTCATCATATGTCAATACATGTAATATACATACATGGAAGCTATATGGATACATATACACAAATGGGGGTTTCCATAAATTGAGGTAGCCCAAAATAGATGGTTTATAATAGAACATCCTATCTATAAATGGATGATTTTGGGGCACCCCTATTCTAGGAAACACGGCAGATGGATCCACCGACTGCAGGTCTTCTTCAAACGCGGACCTCTGCGAAAGCACAACGTGGCACATTGTCACTTGGAGTCGCAAGCCATGTTTGGATCATCATTGGGATCCAAAAAATGGTCAAACTTGAGACCAATAGAATAGAGCCTTTGGCAAAATATATGGGGAAGGAATTTTGCTGCCTCTGGAGCACAGGTCTAGAGTTCTCAATCCGTTGTTGTTCTTATGACACAGCTTCTTATTCGAAGAGAACTGGGGATGTGTCAAGACCTATCATCATTGTATTTAAGGGGGAATAAACATCCATTCACCAAATTAATCAGCTACTTTAGGGTACTATCCGGGTGCCAGGGTTTTGACTGTCAACTCATCTGGTGAATGTCCATTAAAGGCGTACCTGCGATGCTCACAGATGAGTCCTGTGTGTACTTGCCAGAGGAGCAATGGGGGGATGTCGCCGGATCATCAACAAGTAGGGAATCCATCTGGAGGTGCACTTCTGCAAGTGGATATACCATCCTGAGTTATATATGTTATATATGGGGGTTTCCTGACATGGGGGTACCCCAAATTGGACGGTTTATTATGGAAAATCCTATAAACATGGATGATTTGGAGGTACCCCTATTTCAGGAAAGCCCCATATATCCAACTTATGGAGTTTATTACATTTTATTACCATAGTGAAAAACCCGTTGATAGCCCGAACATAGTATATATATATATTCATTTCTATGTCTAAGAATAGTTCTTGGCATTTCAGCCGGTCACCCCTTCACCCCATCTTGGGCCCATCTGATCCATCTCCAATTCTGATCGCTGGATCCTCCAGAGATCAAGGCCCCGAAACTTTCCATTTGGGAATGGCCCTGGTTTTCCCCAGAATATGTCAGAAACAAGCAAAATCATATATATAGATGCTTATAGATGCTTATAGATGCTTATAGATGCTTATAGATGCTTATAGATGCTTATAGATGCTTATAGATGCTTATAGATGCTTATAGATGCTTATAGATGCTTATAGATGCTTATAGATGCATATAGATGCTTATAGATGCATATAGATGCTTATAGATGCTTATAGATGCTTATAGATGCTTATAGATGCTTATAGATGCTTATAGATGCTTATAGATGCTTATAGATGCTTATAGAGATGCTTATAGATGCTTAGAGATGCTTAGAGATGCTTAGAGATGCTTAGAGATGCTTAGAGATGCTTATAGATGCTTAGAGATGCTTATAGATGCTTATAGATGCTTATAGATGCTTATAGATGCTTATAGAGATGCTTATAGATGCTTATAGAGATGCTTATAGATGCTTATAGATGTTTATAGATGCTTATAGATGCTTATAGATGCTTATAGATGCTTATAGATGCTTATAGATGCTTGTAGATGCTTATAGATGCTTATAGATGCTTATAGATGCTTATAGAGATGCTTATAGATGCTTATAGATGCTTATAGATGCTTATAGATGCTTATAGATGTGCTTATAGATGCTTATAGATGCTTATAGATGCTTATAGATGCTTATAGATGCTTATAGATGCTTATAGATGCTTATAGATGCTTATAGATGCTTATAGATGCTTATAGATGCTTATAGATGCTTATAGATGCTTATAGATGCTTATAGATGCTTATAGATGCTTATAGATGCTTATAGCTTGTAGATGCTTGTGTGCTTGGAGATGCTTGTAGATGGCGTAGATGCGTGTGAGCTTGTAGATGCTTAGAGATGCTTAGAGATGCTTAGAGATGCTTATAGATGCTTAGAGATGCTTATAGATGCTTATAGATGCTTATAGATGCTTATAGATGCTTATAGAGATGCTTATAGATGCTTATAGAGATGCTTATAGATGCTTATAGATGTTTATAGATGCTTATAGATGCTTATAGATGCTTATAGATGCTTATAGATGCTTATAGATGCTTGTAGATGCTTATAGATGCTTATAGATGCTTATAGATGCTTATAGAGATGCTTATAGATGCTTATAGATGCTTATAGATGCTTATAGATGCTTATAGATGTGCTTATAGATGCTTATAGATGCTTATAGATGCTTATAGATGCTTATAGATGCTTATAGATGCTTATAGATGCTTATAGATGCTTATAGATGCTTATAGATGCATATAGATGCTTATAGATGCATATAGATGCTTATAGATGCTTATAGATGCTTATAGATGCTTATAGATGCTTATAGATGCTTATAGATGCTTATAGATGCTTATAGATGCTTATAGATGCTTATAGATGCTTATAGATGCTTATAGATGCTTATAGATGCTTATAGATGCTTATAGATGCTTATAGATGCTTATAGTTATACATATAGATAATATATATATATATTCTATTATATCCACATTTCATCCCCATAGAATGGTGTGTTTCTCCAATGGTTCCACTGGTCAAAAATCCACCTGTTCGTCCCATGCGAGTAGTAGACGCACCCCTTGTATATCCCAATATCCCATCAGATCAAATTATATACTAATATACCATTCTATAGTATCAATTAATATCATATATCGACATATAATATAACCCCTTAAATGGTTGGTTTAGAAACTCCCATCAAATCATTAATGCCCATATCCGCATTTTTCATTCCATTTTTTAAAATTGTTTTTTTCTCTCAGAAGGCTCTGCCGCGTAGGATCTTCGGGTGGGAGACTCCATCGACGTTTGGGGACGCAAGGCCCGCAATAGTATTCGTGGCAAGCAACAAACATGGGGATTTTAATGTGGAAAGAAGTTTAAACCAAGGGCTTATTTGAAGAAAAAAAATACATATTTTGATTATATCAGTTATATTATTGTAAGTTCTATCTCCCAAAGGATTCAAAGATGGGTGCTGTTCCCCATTTGATTTGGCACCATGCTTTGGATCAGCGTTTAGCGTTGCATCGTCAGGTGGTTCTGTTTGACTGCGACGCTTTCACCCAGAAGTTCTACAAGGCGAAATGGCTGGACTGCCAAAATGGCCAATCTTCAGGGGGATTCGATCTATGGAATCCAGAGGGAAATTTGCTTTCGCCATGCTGTTTTTACAATACCTCTGAAAAATATCTCAGTTTTTCTGTCGTTGATGTTTTAACGTCTTGTTACAATTCTTGGTTTTTTTAACGTGCGCAAAAAATTGGCTGATAAACCCTATTCGTATTCGCCAAAGAATGGTATTAGTATCGTTGGACGTCCGGAGAGTGTTAGATATTGTGAGGAATTATCAATAAAATCCTTGAACAACTATTGTACTTAACTTGAAACGACCAAGACAGTGGACAATGACCCCCTGGAAGATGAATTTCCCCTTGAACATAAGACTTGCAGATTTTCAGCTCCAGATATCGGAATATCATGGTATATCTATTCTTTTGTGTTTCCTAAAATCTTAGTATTTTTCAACACATTTTTCAACATCTTCAAACTCATGGTGACTTGGAGTACATCCCCACTTCTGGGGCATATCCACACATGGGGATTTCCGCAGGAATATCTCGACCTAGACCAGCGGCAAAATCGCTTGGATGTCTCTGAAAAGCCGGTGACACATCTCAAGCCCCTCGCCGGCGCGCTATTGAAACAACCATGGTGACTTGGGTTTCCCCTTTTTAGGAACCCCCGAATTATTGGGTTGCAAGGTTGTTGTACATTTACGGTTTCATTTGTTTTACATGATATCATATGATATCATATGATATCATATGATATCATATGATATGCTATGATATATGTATAAGGTATTTAAAAAAACACATCATACATACATACACATGCTTTTGTGTATGGTAAAACCATAGGGGCCAACCAGTCTGGTCGCCAAGGCCAGCCTGGTCAGTTGATCGGCAAAACGGATGGTTGGGGCTTGTTGATTGTTTTTACCCTCTGGTAAACATACAAAAAACTATGGAAAATCACAATTTTTCAACGGGAAAATCCACTAAATGGGTTTTTACATCTCAAGTTCTATCTCTCTGCATTCCCACTATTGCTTGAAGGGACTAAAGGGAACATCTGCGGGAAAATCCCTATGATTTAGCGTGTTTAACATGTGGATCCTTTTTTGCCGATGGATTTATTGAGGCTGACTCCACCACCTCACAATGGAGTGGGCAAAGAGGAGGACAGTTTGATTTCAACCCAGATGATCAACGTGAAGGTGGGATCTCTTTTTTGGTGATTCACGGTTGATTCAGTTGATTCATCCTTGATGTTTGACTTGATGTCCAAATGTCCCAAATTGAAACCTCCACGAAACTGAAAGATCTTGTGTTGTGCGGGGCATTTTTTGGCACACCGTTCTCTCAGGGCTGTAATTGACATGAATTTGAAATGTGGCTTTGCCAAGTCAACTACATGAAGATACCAAAGGTATCCAAAGGCAATAGAATTTCTTCCAACTTCATTTCACATTATTTGAGTATCCTAAAACATCCTAAACAGCAATATTTTCTGTATTGATTCATATATCATGTCTATACTCATTTATGTATATCCATCCAGATTATTTATGTATCTATACACATGTATATTTCCATAGATGTATCGATACATCAAAAAAAATCTATGATTTTCCATAGATGTTCCCCCCGCGGATCCATTTGGGCGTGCAACTGGAAGCTGCACAGGCACCGAAGGTAGACCTGGAAAAACTCATGGTCTACACGGGCGAGGCGGAACACCGGCCATCTGAATGGTACGTTTAAAGCACCTGTTTTCTGTGTGAACATCAACATGTCAATTGTTTTAGTCCTCATTGTTGTTGGCAAATGCTGGTAACCGCTGGTATGATGTTTTCTTCTCAGAATACCTTGATTTGTTGGTCAAATCTCTCATGCCCATTGCTTAGAGTTGCCGTTTTTAACGCCACATCAAAATCGTGCAACATTTTCGTTGCTTAAGCCCCCATTTTGGCTCTTCAACCTGTTCAAAGTGCAATTTTTTCGCGTTGCCGTGCCCTCCAGGTCTTAAGATTCGAAGCTAAGATGGCGAATGGCCTGGCGGAGGATGAGATGCGCGTGCTGGCGCGGTTTCCTGGGAAAATCCACGATGGGAATGGCAAGTTTTCCTGGGGGAATCCAAGTGGGTTGTATTTTTTTTGTATTTTTCGGATGGATTTACATACAATCTATGAACATTCTATGAACTTGGTATTTGTTGTGTCATTTCACACTGAAGAATTAGGCAAACATTTGTCGATTAAAGGATTTCACAAAGAAAACATGCTGAATCCAGCGACAACAAATTGGGAATTCGCAAAGAAAAATGGGGCAAGAAAAAATGGGGGATCTATCGTCTGGCAATCAAGCACAACAACTAAAAACACCCATTTTGTACAGAATACAACTGCTGAGGTTAAACATTAGTTAAATTACTGGAGATTCTATCCTCTCAGTATCTTCCCACCGGGAATCCACGA